CTTTCGAAATTACCATTTAAATCTACGTTTTCTTAGGTTTTATCGGTCGTTTCTTCGAGTTATCTTCTATTGGTCCTCTTTATAATTACTATCGGCGCGTATATCTAAAAGCTAATACCGCTTTTCTAACTACTAATTTGGCTAACTACCTCTTCCGGAGGTACTAGTATCGCCTTTCCTACTACTAATCCCGCGTATTAAGATATTAGTCTACTACTGTAGTGGTACGGTGGATCTAGGCCACGTAGCCTTTTCGATCTATATTTATATGAGTCGCGCACTCATATTTTCATCAGTTAGACTTAGACTTACAACCATTACTAGTTACAGCTATTCACTCGTTTCTTGCCATGCCTTTCTAGCCATCCTCGTTGCCTTCCTTTTCTAGTCTTCTCTTTTCCTAGCTGCCGTTTTCAGCTGGCCGATCAACCGATTATAGCTGTTTACAGCTGTGATCTAGGTTTGATCGGCACTGGGCCAGTTGTTGGTAGTTGGGTAGCCGTTTTCGTGCCTTCGTTAGCGTACCCACGCTGCTCCTGTTTAGTAGCAACTACCTAGTAGCTCGAACCTTACCTTATCTTAGGAGTAACCTTTTGCGACCGTTTTTATAGTTATTAGGTTCAGGATTCGTCGATCAGGAGATTCCCTGATTTTTAGTTAATTAGGAGCCGTTTTCGTGGCTTTTAGCCATAGCTTTTTAGGTCAGGATTAACAGGGAGGGCAGACAACCATGGCGACCATCTTAATAACCCACGCCCTCCCATCAGCTTTTAATCAGCTTACCTAAAAGCTCGTTCGCCGATCAGCAGGAATCCCTTATCCTCGTTTCTCAGTTATCCCTTTTAAAGGAGCTGTGCCCGTTTTTACCTAGTTTTGCCTCCGTCGTTTTTTACCAGTACCTAGATGGCAGTTTTTCGCCCTTAGTTAATCTGATACCGTTACCGCCACCACCCCTTTTTACGTACTCGCACGAGCTTGAAGGCATCCGTTTTTTACCGATCAGTTTATTTCAATTGCAAGAGGCTTGCCGATAGCTCCGATTGCCCTTATTTATCCCTGCTAGCTAGTTACGGTACCTAGGGAGGTCTCTCCTTGCCTCCCTAACCGATAGGTGCCACGATGCCCTTAATTACCACATGAAGATACCGACAGACCTTATACCTACGAACCTGATCGGGGAACCTACCGATCAGCCTAAAAGACCTATATAGACGATACCGCGATACGAGATAGATACGATATTAAATAAGACAGCCTAGAAGATTAAGAATAGCCATAGGAATAGTAATGCCTAGAGACCCCTCTTGTCGCCCTTACCGATATTGTAGTAGTGCGGTAAGATATGCCCTCTTGATATATCACGTGACACGCTACGATAGGCCTTATGCCTATATAGAGTAACTATAGCTCCCGTAAGTACGGGCTATACTAAATAGGAGTAGTATAGGTACGCTATAATAGAAGTACGAAATAAGGACTACCTAACTATTAATAACTAGCCTAGTACCGATTAACCTAAGATTATAGCTATAAATAGCTATAATTAGTTAATCGGCTAGCTAAAAACGGCAGCTAGGAAAGGAAAGAAGGGGACTAGAAACGAGTAACGAGGATGGCTAGAAAGGCATAGCAAAAGGAGTAAATAGCTGATAGCTGTGATAGCTATTATAGTAGTGCGGTGGATCTAGGCCACGTAGCCTTTTCGATGCGTATTTATATGGGTCGCGTACTTATATTTTCATCAGTAAGACTTAGACATATAGATATCACAGCCATCAGCCATTCACTCGTTTCTTGCTATGCCTTTCTAGCCATCCTCGTTCCCCCTTTCTAGCCCTCTCTCCTTTCTTTTCCTTTCCTAGCTGCCGTTTTCAGCTAGCCGATCAACCGGTTACAGCTATTTATAGCTATAATCTTAGGTTAATCGGCACTAGGCTAGTTATTAGTAGTTAGGCAGTCCTTGTTTTATACTTCCATTATAGCGTACCTACGCTACTCCTATTTAATATAGCCCGTACTTACGGGAGCTATAGTTACTCTATATAGGCATAAGGCCTATCGTAACGTATCACGTGATGCATTAAGAGGGTATGTCTTACTGCACTACTATAGCATAAGTAAGAGATTGGTAGGTTACTTACTGAAGGATAGGTTCGATTCCTAATTTGGTAATTTGGTGGTAGTTTGGTAGTTTGGTAGTTTCCGCTATGTATCTCATGTGCAGTGCAATAAGGGAGGTAGCATTCTACCTCCCTTATGCACGACGAAAGAATTGCTACCCACCTCATGCACGACGAGAGAATATTATTTACGGCGAGAGAATACTCTCGTTATGTATATATGAGTTAATATGTGGCAGCAGAAGTCCTACAAACCAACAGGTTAGGAGCAGCCCATCTAACATGTCAACCCCAATATTACGGTTATAACAATTTGTAATACCCATGTAAGTAAGACGATTGCTCTCCTAACTTAATCCTAACCTTGGTATAACCATTTTATTGCAGTTGTGGGTAATCAAAGTTAAAGGGGGACTGTAACACCACAACGTGCTGCCAGTTACTCTCTCCTCGTCCATGGTTTGACCCATTTCGGCTAGTAGCTTTCCCCGAATAGTGTATGTAGACTGCTGGCTAGGCACCTTGATTTGCTGCGGGATGTAGGTGTAATATCACATTGCGATGCGGGTAGGTTGATTCATCCATCACACACGTCGTTCCCGGGACGCTTTGACACTTGGATGCTAAGTCCCGGGACGCTTTGACACTTGGATGCTAAGTCCTGGGTGGGCATGTGTAGATAGGTAGGATGTGAGCGCTCTCCTAAGCTCGGCCTTCGGGTCTTTCGTATATAAAACCCAGTGAACCCCCCCCTTCTCCTCTGTCCACATACTAGATATTACCACCATCTTGCCATACCACAGCTCATCTTCTTTCGAACCACAACTCACGCTTTGGGCATTCCACTTCACTTTCCTACCTCTGTGCCTTAGGTGACTACACCTCGTCACTATGGCAGACACTCCAAGTCACGAAGGCTCTACGCAGCGGACTGGATCGTAAGTACTTCTGCCGACCACCCACTTGCGAAATATATCAGCACCAACTGATGTCTTCCTGGTGATAGTAGACAGGAAGAGATCAGCTCCGCACAGGATAATGTCAGCACCAGAGTCCAGCGCACCTCCCCGCCACCTGGCCCTGACGTACCCGGTCCCCGGAATGACTCCCCGACATCCAGCAACGATGCCGGGGACTACCTCCTAGGCCTTGGGGCCCAATTCAAAGAAGACGGTCGTAACTAGTGTCCCAACTAAGAGATGTAACAAACTACGAGGTGTTCCGATAACGGCTATGAGGGCTAGAAGTGTGAGGTTGGGACATTCATTCGCAATGAGGGCGTTGTTATAGGAGGCAATAATGATATAAAGGGTGGTAGTTGACGGAATTATGGTATCTCTTCGCTGTTAGTTATGAAGCCTCAGCTACGATAAATTGTGATGACGTCGCTCGTTTATATTACGACTGCAGCTTTGGTCGACGTTTTTACCTAGCCTTAGAATAAACTCGACACGGTAGGATAGCATGCAAATTCGGTGTCAGAGTGTGCCGGTCCTTGAGAGGAGTGCATCAAACGAGATAGTAATAGACGAAAATGAATACGCATTACTGCCACCGAAGGCCGAGGAAAAGGAGGTCCACACGAACAACCAATCAGCACACGAATTTAATAGAGCCAATTGGAATTCGCAACTGTCCAACCGTCTTGTCTCCGCAGGCTCAGCCTTTGGTGTGTTGTGAAATTGCCCATGATCACCACTGGCCGGATTGTTGTCGGAGGGCTTAAAGCCAAGAAATAGATAAGAAAACACGGTCACGCTCGAGGGCACTCGCTTCTGGGTCCGCGAGGGTGCGCTCAACGCCGAGCACGGGGTCCTGCGTCCGGAGGTGCTGAGGCTCGTCGTGCGAGTCGGCGGCCCCAGTTCCTGCCACGATGGGTCACCTAAGCAGAGAAGGCGTGTATTCGAGGGCTCCTAGCAACGGCACAAGGGAGGCTGGCGATGAACAAATTCATTCCTCTACCTATTGATTTCATAGGTACAGGGAGCCTAGGAGGGGGCGCGAGAGGCGCTGGCCTTACGGACGCCTTCAAGCGCGCAAAGACCGACGTGCCTAGGCAGTTGATGAAATTGGGTGCCCGGATCTCGCAAGGACGTACTGTAAATGTTGCAGGGCATGCACTTACATGGGATTTTACTAGATTAGTTACCTGACGCAATGCAGGGGAGGCTGTCCTTGAAGCGAGAGCCTCACTACGTGTAAACCCATCCCCATCTGGATGTCTGGAATGCGTTTTGGCTGCCATGCAATGCGTGCCCTGATTAAGTCAACCAATCACAAGGCATCGTTAATAAGGTGGATCCACACTGCAATATTTCTCAATGGAGGTCCCAACTCTTGAATTCGTCAACTCTTGAATTCGTCCGCTGTGTCTCACCCTAAAGCGCGTCACAGCTTCTTGAAGATTCTGTCGGCTTCTTCCAAAACAATCAACTCTACTAACTGATTGGGGCGAGGTTTCTTCGATTACCTAGGCCGCTACCACCGCCACCACTGCTTGTTATGCTATTTAGAGATGAGTTCCCAGAGCAGCTTTTTGTGGCGAAAAAGAATTAATTAAGTGCACTTTCGTACGCTGGTTAGACATGCATTTGAGAGGAACTTTTAAGAACCCCTATAAGGAATAAGGATAAAGCTCAGCATAAAGCGGGCTTTTTGCTTAATCCGGTTAGAGGTTAGGATAAGGTACGGGGGATTAGTTAGGCTGGTTTGCGACCTTATTAATCCCCTATACCTTACCTTAACCGGTTAGTGGGGTATGGCTGTTTTGGAAGGAGCCAATAGAATCTACGGGAAGCCGTAACCTGCTTTGGGGTGAGGTACAGGGGAACGTAGTTAGGCTGGTCTGTATACTCGATTGGGTAATGGGTTAACGCATAGGTATATTTAACGCATTTATGAGTGTACATGGTAAGACGGCGATCAGCACCGCACCGCACTGCAAGTTCATTGTGGCCTGGTTTTTTTTTGGCGTTGAAACCTCTCCTCGCATTGTCACTTACGCCGCCCAATCATCCCCAGACAGCATCGCAAGGAGGGTAGCTGGGGAGGTATGACAACAGGGAGAGGCCTGAGTGGTGCCGAGTACGGGACCAGCGTGGCGCAACGCCTAGCAAGGGCCTCAAGGCAGGCCTACGCATGTTCAGCCCCCGCCTACCTCTCGCTACCGCGACGCACCACTGGATAGCTTGCCGCTCTGTGCCTGTAGGCGATGCGGGAGACCAAAAAAAGACGGCCGAATTCCTCCGCGTTAGCAACCTTGCAACATATCCTCCTCTTGGCTCCCCCTCTTTCGACACCCTCGCAGTGCACCCCCAAACCAACACCGCATTTTCTGCTATCCCGCGTCCAGATGGCCTCGGGCATGCGCGAATGTGCCGCTTGCGGCCGTATCCTCCCTCGGTCCTCCTACACGGCCAACCAGTACGCCAAAGGCGCCGGCCTGTCGCGCTGCGCCAGCTGCGTCCACGGGCACCACTCCGACGCCCCGTCGGCGGCACCGTCCGACAGCGGCAGATACAATATCTCCTACTCCAGCACCGTCACCTATGACGCGCTCGAGAACCCGTTCGCCCAGGGCGCCTTCCGCTGGGTGGCCAAGGGGACGTACACCGACGGTCCCCGCTACGGCGAGGCCTGCGTGGTGAAGTGGTTCAAGACCGGCGCCGTCTTCGAGGCCGATTACTTCGCGCTCGATATCAAGGCCGTCAACAAGGCCCTCGAGCTCGCCAACCTGTTCAACGAGCTCCGCGTCGTCGACAAGTCCGTCAAGGTCAACGTCGCCGCCGTGTGGAAGTTCACGGACAACGTCGCCGCCGACTGGGCCGGCCGGATGGTCCTGTGCGAGCCCTTCATCCAGAACTACCAGAAGTTCAACAGCAACACCGGCTGGAACGACGACTCCAGGGTCTGGGGCGAGGTCATGCAGGCCCTCAGCCACTTCAGCTACCACGTCACCGGCGGCCAGTTCGTCCTCTGCGACCTCCAGGGCGGCATCTACCAGCGCGAGGTCGTCCTCTCCGACCCCGTCATCCTGTCGCGCAGGCGCGACTACGGCGTCACCGACCTCGGCCCCGACGGCATCAGCTCCTTCTTCAGCCACCACACCTGCAACCGCTTCTGCCGCCCGAACTGGGCTAAGCCTTGGAACCCCGTCGCCCGCTACGACCCCGTCCCGGGTACCACCATGATCAGAAACACTGTGCCCACGGCCTACAGTCGACCCCGCTTTCGCTGATCACCGCGGCGGACGGCGAACGGAGCGGGGAGCGGGGAGTGGGGAGTGGGGAGCGGGGAGCGTGTTGGCGGTGGGTTCCGTTGGCACGGGTCATGCCGTCGTAGGCGCTAATCTGCCAGTCAAGGTAGGCAGGAACTATCTAGGGAAGGACTGGGACTGGATATAGCGTTTAGATAGTGGTGTATTGACACGCTGCCGCATCGGGCTAAAAATAAACGACTGTCTCAACGCCGGCGCCGGAACCGGCCCCCGAACGCGCTGGGCCCCTTGGCGCCGTTGTTCTTCAGCTTGAGCCTCTTGAAGTTGGCGTGAGCCAGCTCGTTCACCTTCCTCGCCGCCTTCCGGATCTTGCCCTCTTTCTTCTCCTTGCCCTTCTCCTTCTGCCCTTCTGCCTCCTTCGCCGCGCGCTTGCTCTTGCCCGCCTTGGCTGCCGGCTTGCCCTCCTCTTCCGCCTCTTCGTCGGCCGCGGGGTCGAATTCCGACTCGGATCCCAAGTCCACCGGAGGCGAGGGCTCCCCGCGGTCGGCCCCGGCCGCTTGGGCCTGCGTCTCGGGCACGACATCGTCGTCGTCGTCGTCCTCGGACTCTTCTTCCGCGATCGTCTCCTGCGGCCGCTTGCTCTGGACGGGCTTCATGTTGGCTCGTCGCGTAGTGCGCTTCTGCCCCTTCTTCTTGTAGACCCGGAGAGGCTGGCCGTCGCGGCCCACCTGGTCCTCGGGCGCGCTGTCGTAGAGACCCTCGTCATCGAATGCGCCGAGAAGCCGCTGCTGCTGCTGGCTGTCCGGCTCGAGGATGTCTTCCTTCGGCTTAGCCGGCTTGGCCGGAGCCGACGGGTTCGCCTCGCTCTCCATCTCGCGCAGGGCCTCGAGGTCGTCGTCGAGGGCTTCCTCCTCGAGCTTCCGCAGGCTGGCCACGACGCTGCTGAGGCTCCGCCCTAGAGGCTTGCGCGGCAGGCGGAGGGGCGCCGGGGATAGATACTCGCCGTTCTCGTCGACGGTCGCGAGCGGTGCTCTCCTCAGGAAGGAGGGCGTGGACAGGTGCAACTTACTGACCGAACTTGGCGTCCTCGCGCTCGTGTTCCCGTTCCTTCGTCGAGAGGGTGTCATGAACGTATCCGGCGTTGCGCGCTTGCTGGCAGATTTCGGTGTTCGGCTCGACTGAGCGACACGTCGGCGACCGGCCTCGCCTGTCTTCTTGCTGGGGGTTACTTGGATATCGACGTCCTTGAGACCGTCGGCGTGTCTGGACTTTGAGGGCGTGTTCTCGTCGTTTTCTTCCAGCAGATCGAATAGGCCGAGGATCCGCCCATCTCTCTGCGGCGTAGGGCCAATTGACGTGGGTACGGCGGGACTGAATAGCTTCCGGGTGGATGGAGTCTCGAACAGCTCGGGGTCCACATCGCGCTGCCGCACGCGAGAGGGGGTCTCAACCGGCTTCACTTGCTTGGCAGGCCTTTGCCCGATGCTCCCGTCTAGCTTTCGCTTCCTCACGCTGAGCGTCGTCTCCTTGGCCTTGGGCGGAGGGACCTTTCCAGACAAAATGTCCCGGACTTGGTTGTACTGCTTATACTTGCGGGCTATGGGTGGCTTGTTAGGAACTGCAACACGGAGTGCGCAGATACAACGAATGGGGCGAAGCGGTACCTATTTCTGGGTTTTGCTTGATATCTTCACGTCGCGGCTTTGTTCCACCATTCTGACTCGACCAGTCGGCTTCAAAGCGTTTCAGCTCGGCGCGCAGCAGCTGGCATGTTTCTTCGTATTCCTGTTTTTGGCTCTCGTCCATCTTGCTCGCGACGTATCGGTTGAGTAGGATATGGAAATGCTGTTGCGTCAGTTATATTTTGTCAAGGTTGGCTAGTAACTGGGATGACGGGATTGTTGAGAAAGATGAATTGAGGAAGTGACCGCGACAGGGAACGCGACTAGGCACGCGACAAGGGGGAGAAATGAATGGCTACCCTATTTAAGTGGGTAAGACGCGTGCTGAATATGTACCCCTGGATTCCCTCGCAGCGTGGCCCGCCACCCGTTATATACGGAAGCCCATATCTACACTAGAGAAAAACCGTTTTTGGGATAGGTAAACCCCGGGGTGGGAAGGGGTATAGTTAGCATATATGATATATGCAATTAAGCATCTATACGCTCGTACTTTTATACAACGTTCGGTACGTAGTTACTATATTAGAAAAAAGTTTACCTAGTATAAAGGTATATATTTTTATATAAAAATAAATAAATAAATATCTTATCGATAAGGTACGTATTTGATAATAAATACTAATTTATAAATTAATAAAAATAAAAACTTTATAATTTTATAATTTTATTATTATATAAATTTATTATTTTATTATTTTATTATTTTATTATTTAATTGTTTTATTATTTTATTATTATTTGAAATTTTTAAATTTTTAAATTTATAATATAATATAATATATTATATTAATAAATTTAATTTTATAAAATTTAATATTCTAAGTTATAATTTAGATTATAAATTTTAAATATATTTATAATTATTATTTTTTCGTTTTTATAAAGTACTAAAATAATAATTTAATTTCTATGAAATAAAATATATAAAATATTTAAAATATTTAAAATATTAATAATAATATAATCTATTTAATAAAATCTATAATTATTAAATATAAATATAAATATTATTATAATATATAATAATTTAATTAATTTTTAATAAGTTTTTTTTAACTAATTATAAAATTCTTTTTTACCTTAAAATAAAATATTTAAAATTTATTTATTAATATATATTCTTTAATTAATTTTTATATTTATACGTATTTAGAAAAAATTTAACATTAATAAATATATTTATTAGGTTATAAAACCTCAATATCGTACTATCGGGGTTGTGCACTAAAGCTACATTACCCCTCTTATTACGGGAGTGTACCTATACGTTATAAGTGGGGCGTTCGCCTCCAAAAACGGGTTTTTCCCTAGTGTAGATATGGACTTCCATAGTTATACTCATATAGGTACCTATGGCACATGTACCTATTCATTTAAACATGGAGGTATCCATGGATCTGATTATGTAAACTCCTCCATCACTCAGTAGACTTTCCGGCTTAGAGGTGGAGAGCCTCCCACCTTATTGCAACCAACCGCGATACCCTCGCATCTTCGCTTCCGTGGTCTTCCGCCGCCGCCCCAGCCGCTATCGTCCTCCCCAGATGCGAGCGGCCATATGGATGCGGGCGTCGACACGAATGACGTCCGCTCGAAAGTGCTTCAAAATACCCTAGCAGAAGTCGCATCACGGAGCCGAGAGGACACAGACGATCCGACCGAAGCCTGCTGTGTCATCTGTCTCGATAGCATCACCCAACCTTGCGCCGCCCGTCCTTGCAGCCATCGCAACTTCGACTACGTCTGCCTCCTAAACTGGCTAGAACGGCAGACCACATGCCCGCTTTGCAAATGTCAGATCGAGGAGGTCTGGCACGACCTCGAGGGCGACGACCCCGACAAGAAGACGGCCGTCTACAAAGTCCCCCGTCCGACAGAGCAGCCGTCGCAACAGCGTATACAACCACAGCTTCTGCCCTATCCTCCCCGGAGTGACCCCCTGCGGCCGGACCGACGACGTCATGAAGATGCACCTCGGCGGGTGACGCCGGATGAGGCGATCCTCCGCCGGCGACACATCTACCGAAACCAGCTCTACTCCTTGCACGTAGGCTCGAATCGTAGATCCGGGTATCGAGATTTGACACCCCAGATTTTCGCATCCGACCCCGGCATGGTCTCGAGAGCGCGGACTTGGCTGAGAAGGGAATTACAAGTATTCGAATATCTCCACACACCACCGACAGGACAGTTCAGCGACGAAGCGACGACGAGGAGGCGCGCGAACAATGCCGAGTTCCTGCTCGAGTATATCATCGCAATTCTCAAAACCGTCGACATCCAAGGGAGCCAAGGACAGGCAGAGGAGATGCTCAAGGACTTCCTCGGCCGCGACCATACGAGGCTACTCCTTCACGAGCTGAACAACTTCCTGCGCAGCCCGTTATCAATCGAGGCTTGGGATCGGAAGGTACAATACCCCCCGATAAGGAAGCGGCCGATGGAGGACGGGCAAGATAACCAAGACGAACGAGCAAGGCAGAGTCATCGGAGACGATTGGCAGACGCAGAGCTGAATGGGCGGCCCCACGGAGAGCCGGCTGGGCAGAGATGGCGAGCGGGCAGTTCATATCGCCCTACCTACACAAGTCACTACCATCGAACAGCGGAAGACCGTCGTCGGCCTCGACCCGACTAAATCCATATACCCCCCTAACTCCTCTCGTATGCACATTGCGGCCTGGACAGACTGTCTCGGGATCATATCTGTTCCTGTCACATCCTCCGAGTACATCTAACTACGCATCGTATCAAATCATCGCCTCTACAAGATTCGTTAGAAACCCGACCTGTAGCGTTTTCTGGCATTAGTTTCCTTTGCGCCGTGCCATTTATCTAGCTGTTGGGAAACGGTAGTGAAAATCCCCTGCCGGTGCTGTTGGGGCCGCAAGAAACTAGATAGAATTTTACCAAGAGTAGAGGTTTGGATAATGAAAAACTTCTTCATGCCTATCTTTATTTTTATTTTCTTTTGCCTAGGTGCCTACATCTACCTTAGCACCCCTAGGTAGTTACGGTTCATCGTTGCATTAGCCTACGTATGTCCCTCGGTCTCAATTCGAGAACAGGCCTAGAGCTGTCCGTGGCTCCGCGGATTATTGTCGCCTCAAACTACCTACATATGTGTGAATCATCGTCCCAAGCGGAGCACCGGCCAGACCCTACATATACCAACCTCTGTCCACCGGAGACCCCGCTCAAACGCATGCGATGCCTCGGATGACTTGACCGCCGACTCCTCACCCGACATTCTACTTGCGGTCTTGGAGCTCGGATGCGGTCTGCCGTCATCCAAGACAATGATCCTTCGCACGTATGCACGACGTAAACGTGCGATTCCTGGATAGGCTCGCAGGCCCCTTATACGCGGACTCCTCGAGCAAGCATGCCTAGGTATTCTCTCCGAAATCAGTGCTGTGGCTGATAGGAGCTGGTGCTATAGGTACCTGCTGGCTACGTCCCGGTACGCGTTCCCCGTACCTGGTGCGTGTTATCGCACCGTGGGGGCGGCTAAGCCAGAAGAGTACATGCCTTATCTACCAAGGTATGTTAGGTACCTCTAGGCGGGTAGGTATCTTACGTACCTAAGGTACCTATTTAGTATACCCATCCACAGAGACAACATCAACGACAGGACAGATACGTACAGAGAACCTCATGCTACTTGAATACTCCAGGGGATACGTATCTAATGGCCGGGTTGTCGAAGGGACTTTGGCCGAGCATGAGTGGCTACAAGTCTCCAACACAGATCGTATCGAATATCTGTCGAGTTCCAAGAATCGACAGCTCCAGATTCACCGTACAGTTCCGATTTGGGAACTACGCGGATCGATGATTGGTCCATTTTAGGGAAGATCTCTGCTGTACCTAAATATTAATAGACGTACCTAAATTAGAAGGTACCTGTATCTACCCGTGAATAGAGGCTACCTACCTACGCGCTAATCATACCTAAGTACACTTGCCCGCACAATCGGGACAGGGTTAAACCCACAGCACGATACCTTCGAAACCAGAGAGACATTCACTCGCGACGAAACGCCTCTATCAGCATAGGGTTTGCCCGGCAAACTCGCAAGATTTCCTCCTTTCCATTGAGGTGATCTAAGTCCTGTACATTTATGTATATAAACACGTGCGAGTATATACGTACTCTTTTTTTTTTTTCAAGGAACCGAACCTAACCTGCTGATCCGCCCGGACTCGCTCCCGAGCATAAATATCTTCCCCACTTCCCACCAGAGCTACCCATCCTTCCTGCCTCTCCCACCCCCATCTCCTACGTATATATATATATATATATTCCTGCCTATCTCGCGGCCGCCATCTCTGTGCTTTCTTCTTTGCATTCTTCAACCCCGAGCATCTTTCTCATCTAGTTTATTTCCTTTTCCGCCATCTTTTTCATCGCCATTTCTCGTCTACCATCCCGTCCGCCATCTCCTCTATTTCTGCTATCTTTGCCATCTCCAATATATCTTCCATCTTCGCCATCTCTGATATCTCTGCCATCTCTCACATATCCGCCATCTCTGATATATCTCCCATCTTCGTCATCTGTGGCATCTCCGATATCTCTTCCTGATCTCCTCCTTTCCATATATTCTGCGCCAATATATAGCCATATTCCCTTTCTTCCCATCTTTGCCATCCTCTCACTTCATCTTCATATATACTTTTCCTTTTATCTTCACCATCTTATATATATTTTCTCTTTTACGCGTTTCTCCCTTCTTTCCCTCATTCCCCCCGTCCTCTCCGGACACCACCCTCCGGTCCGATAGACGCTGACTGTGTGCGGCCATGAGCAGCCATGGTCCACGTCTCTCGGCCGGAATCCGTTCGCCCTGGTCAGTGAAACAACCCAAACCCTTTGAAGAGATGTGTGTTTGGCCCTAACTCTTGGTTCTTAGCAGGACATTGTACTATCGACAATGGCCGAGGTGCCTCGAACGCTTCCACAGAATAAAATGGGACATGCTCCGTAGACGGCACTAGGGGTTCTGCACTACCCTAACTGCAACGACGTGTCCCGACATTTCTTGTCTCGAAGACTTGGAAAATTGCTTAGCGTTCGGTAGTTTCGTAGATAGAAGACTATTGTATGTTAAAAGACACATCTTATTGAAATTCAGATACATCCTTCCCTTCGTCGTCAGCTTTCAAATGCACCAGAATGCATACGTTAAACGTCAACCTATAGGTATAATGACAAACCCCACATATAGGCACCTGTGTGCGTATTGGCTGGCTCGCTTCGCGTGATACGCGATACTAAGTAATCAACTAGTATGCGAATCTTTAGGATGCTGAACCTGTGCCTAATTAATCTATTCAGGTAACTAGGGGTTAACTGCTAATTGAGGGGTTATATATGGTTCCTTTTACCATGAATATTGGCTTATCTCCCAAGGTGCCGTTGGCAGTGAATAGGGCAGTGAATAATAGGGTGGCGGGGATCCGCACCCGTCTCAAGTCCGTTGCCGTCCTAGTATAGATTGCTACGTATCGCTCGACCCCACGTTGACCCTAACGACAGGATACAACAACTCGCCCCGTTTATCCCAGTACCTCGGCACGACTGCCGGGCCGCCCGCCGGCGGCATCGCACGCCTCACGGGGACGAGGTCGCCGACGTACATCTCCTCGACGAGTTTCCACACGCGCCTCCGGTTGCGGAGGCCTCCCGGCACCCCCAACGAGCTCGCCTCGGCGTCCCAGGTGCGCCAGTTCTCCTGGCCCAGCTTGCGGACGAGGAGCTCCCAGTTCGGCTCGGGCCGCGGGCCCTCAGCCTCCCACCGCGCGCAGAAGCGCGCCGCGGCACCCGCGTCGAGGTCCCGCAGGAACGGTAGGCACTCGCCGCGCAGCAGCACCTCGCGCCACGCCCACTGCGGCAGCAGCCCGTTGCACGCCGCCGGGAGGCCGCCGCGCGCCGCCAGGAACGAGCATATGTGGTCGCGCAGCTCGGCCGGCAGGGCGGCGAACCGCTGCTGGAACGCAGCCGCGGCCGGGCCGGGAGCAGCGGGCGGCGGCAGGGCCTCGAGGCTCTGGAGGACGGCCGCGGTGAGGTCGGGTACGGCGAGGGGATGCGCGGCTTCCTGCGGGCGCGGTTAGCGGACGGCTGAGCGGGGCGACGAACGCGCGACACGTACCCAGCGCTCGGCGCCTGCGTCGCGGTGCTCGGGCAGGTAGTAGCCGTGCGGGAGGGGGACGCGCTGGGGGCGGGGCGCGGCGCCCACGGCCGTGCCCGCGTAGTAGCTGTCGTCGACCTCGTAGCGGGCGCGCAGGGCCTTCCAGAGGGCGCGCAGGTCGCGGAGGGGGCCGCGGCGCACGGCGTCCTCGGCCAGCGCGAGGCACGCGCCGTGCGTCGCGACGTAGTACGGCGTCGACAGGTACTCGCCGTCGACGACGTCGCTGTACGACTCGTTGGCGCGCACGCCCCAGTCCTCCCACCCGGCGTCGTTCCACCACCCGAGCGCCGGCGCCGGCGGCTCGGAGCCCACGAGCCGCAGCCGGTTCCCCTCGACTACGCGCGCCGCATCCTTGCGGATCGCCGTCGCCGCCGCTCCCGGGTCCAGCCGCGGCGCGTCCGCCCGCTTCCCCCCCCGGTAGTGCACCTCCAGCTGCTCGAACTCGCGCGCCGGGTCGCTGAGCAGCACCGCCTCCGTCTGCCAGCTAGTGCCGCCGTCAGGCGCCGCCGTCTCCGGCGCGATCACGTAGCCGCAAATGGCGCAGCACAGCTGTCCCTCAAAAGAAGACGCGGTAGCCATCCCGCCCCGCCTTACTTCATGTCCCTAGCTTGGTTAGGTAGACGGGTGGTCTCTGCCCTGCTTATTGTTGCTTCCCGCCCCTAGTCTCGTCGTCGTAGCTCTTCTTGGTGAGGGTTCTGGGAGGGAGAGTGACGATTGTTTTTTGCGGCGGTTGGTAAGAAGGCCTTTGCCAAGCCATCGGCGGGGTCCCTCGATTGTATGAGGGCTTACTTGGCGGTGAGCTGACGGGGGTTACTCCATCTCAAAGGATCGCCACTCCGCCTATTTATACGCCACCTCCTATTGGCGACCCGGGGAATCGCATCACAGCGTAGGAGTGGCGGCGGGTGATCGACTAATCGGCCAGCCATAGTGAGCATAAGAATGGGAATGTCGCAAAGCATCGCCTTTCCTACCTGCATAGTGCAGCGTCCCACAAGTCGCGTGGAGGCTGGGGTAGGTAATATTCGGTCTCAGCCGAAGGACGCTTCTATCCAATGACTTGAAGTCGTGCATTACCCCTGCGAATGATATCAGAATGATACTGGGTATGTGAAGATGATGGCCCTACGTTGTGATACGACCGGTACGATGTCATCGCCGCCTGTCATCGTCGCTTGTGGAACTTGAATATTAGATCGTGTGCGATAGGCGAATTATTAGATATTACTGACATCCGAGCATTAGACGAGCAGGAAAGAGAACCCACCGCCCCTGATAATTACCATTAAACGGCCTATTGGTGCCTCAGTACGTCTTGGTACTATAATAGCCGCCATAGCCTAGACTCGAATGATGGGTAGGTATCGGGTATCCCGACACAACGGGAATTTCCACTTTGGTTTATTGCCGTTGACCCTTCGATGCATCCCGGATATTTCCTGGTGGCTCTTAATCCACTATACTTCAGGTGGCTATGGATAAAGCACAGTCAAGTCAACTGTCACTCCTTACTCGCCAGGACTGGTAGGATGGAGGTTATCAAGAACGTTAATGGACAGGAGTAACGAGGGCTTATGAAAGATGCTGCTAAGCTCCTCCATGGCGTTGAAAATTTAATAAACATATACTTGCCGCCAACCCCTAAATTGAATCTAGTTTTGTCTCTAGGAATAAACCGGATATATCTACTACATGAGTCTAAAAGTTTTCTTGAGAAAATAGTTGGAGACAAGTACTATGTTACTGTTCTGATTCGCTTACCCACCATTGCAAAGCTATGATATTGCGTAACCATGGAGGGCACAGCTATATACGTTGAGTGACTGCGAGTTACCTTAAGCAATTAATGTTTAGGTAGTTAATATTTCTTGACATTCTAGGCCCGGATAGTCAATTCATTAAAGACAGATCTTAGTCTACTCTTTAAAATTAACTAAATGGCTATTACCCATTAGACATGATTCCACGGATTGGTACATGTCCTTATGTTCTTGTGAATGTTTCCGTAGCTCTGTGATGCTTGTGTTTATATTCATACCGTTTCGTATACCTCTCTTAAGATTGATCCTTTTATCAGCGGTTAATGGACGGCTAGAATGTATATTTTAATATAGGTTGTTCAATGTGATAATACCTTGAGTTTTTTTTCCTAACAATGCCACATGTATTACAATAGATTGTCCACAATGCGGAAGTAACCAAGCCATGTTAGGAATAAAAATCAATGACATACCTAACATTCTTACATATTCACTACTCAAGTGACGCATGTTCTATCTGTGCCAAAAGAATTGTTTCTTGCTGTAACATGTAACGTAGATGCCGTGTTGTGAATATAACCAACAACAGGCAGGACCCAATGAGGGCTGATAGAAGCAATACAACACGACAATAGCCACAGTGAATTGAACAATGCAGAAAAAACGCCACTGTCAACTTGTCTAAGCCGTCGCTCTCCTACTATTCACCAATATGTGAACAGAAATCTAGTTATAAATCGAGTCCTCTTACGAACTTCTCTGGAACTCCCCTCATCAACACGCCGCTCATTAGCAAACTGACCACCAGACACCGCTACCATCAGACACTGAACTCGTCTTTCGCCATAAGCATACCAACCGCCATCACCAAGATACCACGACATCAGCCTGGTAAACAACAACCAAGTCCCTGACCGCACTCCCAGCAGCAAGTCATAGACAAGAGACCACTAGTCAAGATGTGCCACGCCACCAGAACCGACCTAGCCTGCCCTACCTGCGGCAGGGTCTTTTTGTATATCCGCAGCTATGACCCGTGCGACAGCCCCTACGCCTGCCAGCCCTGCTGCCCGAACCTCACTGTGACATATATGGGCGTAAGGATCATGGAGTGTGAGGGCTGTGAGGCGGTGCGCCTGGCTGCCTCTAGATCCTCCTAAACGCTAGGTACTTGTCATAAGCATGGCATCCTATAGCAACCAACATTCCCCCTTCCAACCCCCCGCCCCCCTCCTCTTAATATCTGTGGGGGCCGTCGAGGGGGCCCTGGAGGGGGTCGTCAACAGGTATTCCGGGGGGTCATCAAGAGGCCCGTAAGCGGATTGAGTGCGGGCAGTATTGAGGGGGCCGGGAGAGGCCTATATCCATCTATTATTAGCCTTCTTAGCCTTTAGTTGAATGCTACTCTGGGCCTTTGCGTATCACTTACATCCTGTTCTATTTTTCTTTGTTCATGTATATGTATTTGTGAATGCCGTGAACAAAGTCCATTGTTGTCTAGTAGGGTGGTGGTAACCTGAAGACCCCATTATACTCTCCAGAGGGGGAGACCCGAGGACAGAGCTGTGTATAGGTGTGTGGTTCTTGTTGTTTTCTAGTCCTTTTCAACCGGCCGTTCTTCATGAGGTTTGTACCAAAAACTTAATAGTCACCTGTTTTCATTGTTCCTCTTAGGCATAAACCCTTTACGGCATGATCCAGCCCGAGGCCACATCCTGGACAGTTTAATCGAAACATAAGGCGATGTGCCCAGGTGAAAAATGAATATTTCCATCACCCTTGTTCTTCCATGCGGTTTGGATAGGAGGACGCCAAGCCTGTATGCACCCCCATTACACCTATCACTGGAGTAGTTGTACGCCTCCAGATGTTATTAATCTTGCCCCTGAACTCGAGTTTTGCCATAACAACAGGCAATCAAGAGCCTATTGGGGAGCATTTGAATCTCTGAATAAGGATAATTAGGGCTATTTTAACACCTCCCGAGGCCCAGGAAGCAGATCTCTCCATCATAAAGACGTTGGCTCGGCATGGTCTCCGGCCTGGCTTCCTTCCCAGTCCTCCCAGAACTCGAAAGGCTCGTCCCCAAAGGCGACCTCCCCGTTGCGATGCTGGAATCGCCATACTTCAGTCGGTCGCCCTCCCGCTCTGCAGCCAGTAGAGGCATCGACGGCATAAAAACCCGGAGTCTTGCCGGCCTCGAAGCTGCCAGGTTCCCATAGCCACCACGGCGCGTCGCGTAGGCGTTTGAGGTGGGAAGCGTGCTCGCGCATGTTCCTCTCCACCTCCGCGTCCGTTAAGTACGATGTGCCTGCTTCTCTGAAATCTTCTTCCAGCTCCTCGTCGTCCCCGCCGGCCCCGTGGTGAACGCCGATAGTAGCCGGATCGTCCAAGTAGTTCTCGCTTAGGTTCCCGGCCGTGGCAATATCCTACTCGTCCCCGTGGCCTCGGTTCCTGCGGCCGCCGATCTGGTTTCGGCCTTCGATGATTGCCATCGTCTTCCAGTCCTCGATGCTGTATACTGGCTCGTCGTAATCAATATACAAAGGTGCGGATTTACCTAAACAGCTTACGGTCTGCTCGCGTAAGATTTTGTGGTTGATCCAATCGAGAGCCTCTGATTCCCGGACGAATACGCTGTACTCCGGATAATGCGGGATGATGGAGAGCTCGTTCAATTTAGTCCCCGCCGACGAGTAGATAGTGGCTAGATTGCTGAGAACGTTAGGCCTCAAGTTGCCAACCACTTTGAGTGACTCCAGAGAGCTCGCGTGCCTTGCGATGAGGCCGAGGAACGTGAACCGCTCCAGCGTCATGTCTACGACGTGTAGGAAGCGCAAGCGGGGAAGATATAGCCCTGAGCTGCCAAAAAGGCGAGTACATAGATATCCTCTTCCACCCACCAAGGCCTCGGCCTGTGGATGTGTTTGTTCAAAGCACAATCGAAGGTGGGTAAGACCCTTAGATGCCATGATGAAGTCCCGTAGACCGTCGACACTCGAAGAGTTAGGGACCGTGCTGATGCAGAGGTCTAGGTGCGTCAACGTATTGAAAACGTCGCAAAGCCGTTGGATCCCGACGTGTGGTAAGCTTGTGAGCTCGGTTACATCGGCATAGTAGAAGCAAGTGAAGGGGTTACGCTGGTGAGGGCGCGGCCCCCGCAGATGCGATGCCCCGAAATATAAAAGAGCAGGGACCGTCGAACCGAACGCCTCAGGGGCACCATCAGGTCGGGGAACATAATGCTGCAGAAGCTGTGCTGTCATCGGGTAGCCTGTGGAATTCTTAGCGAGCGGTCGGCTCGGGTGCATCGGCTGGATGGCAAAGGTGTGCACGTTAGGCATAGCATCCAACGCCTTCTAGAACGCTGTCATGAACCCTCTACGCCTCATAATTTCCTTCGTCGACGTTATCAAGTGCTGGCCAGGCCGTAGGTATGGGCTGTGACAAGCGAACCGGAAGAGACTCGGGGCTTGCTGCTGGAGATGCTGATAAAAGTGTTCATCTTCGGTGGATTCCCCGGGGTCGCGTCTTGACGGGATATCTGTCTTGTCATTGGGGCTGGGGAAGAACGGCGTATTGTTCTCGAGTTCATACCACACAACTATTTGAACCTCTTGTGCTAGGTGAGGCCGCGATGCGATTTGGAAGAATGCGCCGTCGTCTTTCTTTAGTCGGGATACGCAAATTCGGCGGAAGAGCAGATTCGTGGCGGACTTGGTCCAGTGGCGTTGCACGAGCCTGAGCGACTTGAGGTCCTCGCTCGAGATCTCGGAGCAGGAAAATATGTTGGTAAGTATTTCTGCAGGTAATTGCCGACCCATGACGGTAATTTGAACCTGCGGTGCTTGTGTCTTGGATGAGATTTGGGCGGGTTTACCGATGCGTGCATGGATACGATAAGCGAGGGGACGAAGTAGAGGAGCCCTGCGGGAGCAGCGAAGAGATGGGCGGGACGAACTGGCTGGCTAGAGGCTTCACTTCCCCAGATCAACGTGATCCCAAAATATGAGGAAGAGGCGATGGAGGAGGGGGGAAACTCTATGATGTCTGATCATCATCTTCAGCTCATACAGCCGAGAGAGTTGGGCCTGCCTACGGGCATAACCAGTCGCTAGGCTTAGACCAAACTGGCGATAATGAACCCGTATTAGAAAGGGATCGCTCTATCCTGAAAGATGGGCATATAAGAGACCGAGAGAGTTCCAGTAGGGAAGTGGGAACCCCTCTTCCATCCCTCAGATTTTCCTCGTCGACCCTCGCAGTCTGCAGGCCAGACACGCCGCACATGCATTTCGGGATCGCGCCGCTCAAGACATGCATACCCAACAATAATGCCATGTCCGTGTTAGAAGCGCGAAGACCGATATCGATGTGTTATATCTGGGACAAATTCGGCGATATCCCGCCCTTCACGTCGACAACCGGAGAGCAAACAGTGAACAGAAAACAGAAAACAGAAACAAATAAACACACGCAGTGCGAAATAAAAAGGCGCGGGGTAAAGACCAGGGGACCAGGACCAGGCCAGCTTACGGGCAGGTATATGATTCCGCGACATACCCACCTCTTCTTATCCTACCCAATGCATCCCGATTCCCGTCTTACATGGTACAAGTTGGGGACAGACTCTCTCCCGTCGTTTTCCTTCCCTCTCTTCATTCTACCTTTCTCTCCTCTCCCGCATTAGGGCTTGGAGGGAGAGCGAAAGCACGTAACCTACTTCCCTGCTGATCCTTCGGGCCGAAGTCCAGCGTCCAAGTTGGGCCAACGCCGAGTTGTGTGGAGTGCGCGTTGCCTCAATATTGGCGACGAGGGATTCCGGCTGCAGGCAGCTCGACGATAATTGAACACCGTCATAGATTGGCGAGGACCACGTCTTGGATATTTCTTCGCGGGCAATTGATAAAGGTCCGGACTGGTCTCCGTCTCCCGCCCTTCTCCCCCTTCCTTTCGCTCGCCTTCTGCCCTCTTCTGCTTACGCTTACCTACATACTTACGTACCTACCGCCATCTGTCCTCTCTCTTTTTCTTCCTCTTCCTCTACTTGCTCCCGTCCTAAACCCCTTTCTCTGCTTACTACGTGCCCAGATATTCACGAGTTTCCCCTGTCTCCCCCTCCCTCCCCTACCACCGTGTTTCTTCTCTAGGGACAGCAGATAAGCAGCAATCCGCTGTCCTCCCTCAGCTGTCGATAGCAAAACAAACACACGTTACCTACCGTGATTCCCTCCAGCGCCGGTGCATTGCGAGACAAACCCCGTCGCCCCAGTCAGTCGATCCCCTTCCTGTCCTCTACCATAGCTGTCACTCTAACACGCAGGGTCTACATACAGTATAGGCTGTGTTCGCACGTCTGTCGTCTTACGTGCTGACTCGTCCGTATTCCCTTGCCCGCTGCCGTCTGTCCCGCGGATCCAAAACTGAGGCCTGACCCTGGTTCGCCGTCCGACGCCACACGCTTTCAATCGTTGGGCCGTCACACGTCAACCCTCTCCAACCTAACCCGACTACCTACCTCCCTGCTTAGCTGCTTCGCTGCTCGGGTACTAGTTCTACCTATTGTCAGGCGACGCCGCCGGGACCGCACCCTGGGATAGGCGTGAATTGGTCGTGCTCCCGCTCCTGCTGCTACGCCTCGCGATGACGACCCCCAGCCCGTCCTCGACGCTGCACCTGCCGCGCATGCTGTGCCTGCACGGCGGCGGCACCAACGCGCGCATCTTCCAGATGCAGTGCCGCGTGCTGTCGCGCGCGCTCGAGCCGTACTTCCGGCTCGTCTACGCCGAGGCGCCGTACGCGTCGACGGCCGGCCCGGACGTGCTCTCGGTCTACGCCGACTACGGCCCCTTCAAGCGCTGGCTGCGCTGGCTGCCCGAGCACCCGGAGGTCGACGACGCAGCCGCCATCGCCGACATCGACCGCGCCCTGCGCGCCGCCATGGACGCCGACGACCGCGCCGGCGCCCGCGGCCCCTGGCTCGGCCTGCTCGGCTTCAGCCAGGGCGCCAAGCTCGCCGCCAGCCTGCTCTTCCGCCAGCAGGCCCGCGCCGCCCAGCTCGGCCCCGCGCGCGCCGGCTCCGACTGGCGCTTCGCCGTCGTCATCGCCGGCCGCGCCCCCATCGTCTCCCTCGACCTCGACGTCTGCCGCTCCGCCCTGCTCAGCCGCCCCTCCCAGATCACCGTGCCCCCCGCCGCCGGCGAGCCCGGCGGCCCCGACCTCATGGAGCTCGCGAGCGGCAGCCACGTCCTGCGCCTGCCCACCATCCACGTTCACGGCCTCCGCGACCCCGGCCACGCCCTGCACCGCGAGCTGTTCGAGGACTACTGCGACCCGACCACGGCGCGCCTCATCGAGTGGGACGGCGACCACCGCATCCCCCTCAAGACGTCCGACGTCCAGCCGCTGATCGACGACATCCTCGACGTCGCGAGGGCGACGGGGGCCCTCAAGTTTTGAGAAACCACGAGGGGAAGTTAGGTACCTACTCGATCTCGGGCTGGTATTTTAGAGAGCCGACGGCTTGCGTAGGGTGGGGATACCACCGGTAAAGATAAACGATAGACATTTAGATTGAGCGGCGAGAACCATACTGGCATTCCCTATGCCACATAGACGCGTCTTACGGGGTTCTGACGTTCAGGCTGAGCGGGTAGGGTAGGGACTGAAATTAGCCGGATATCGTGCCAGAACAGGGAACACTTGCCAGCCATGGACAGTATTACGTCTCAAATCATGGCATCCTAATAGAGGAGGAAGAGATAGGCTCACAACCGACCACCTCCAACTCTACGTAGCCTAGGGAAATGAAACGGTCTACTGCTAGTCCCGCTGTATACCTGTGAAAGCAGGTCTGCGTTGGCCCAGATATACGCATGGGTAGTATATACCTCGACACAGGTATACCTACCCGCGACGCCCTCTATCTCTACCCTCCCCCTTCCACCCCTCCCGTCTCCGCCTCAGTGCTCAAACCTGAAGTCGAGGCGCTTGTTGCCCTCGTCGGTGGTTGTATCGAGGTACGCGAGGCGCTGGGCCGGGGTCAGGGCTCGCCAGCGGCGGTCGCGGTAGCGGTTGCGCAGGACGTAGTAGGCCTTAGTGAGGCCGTAGAGGACGATATTCATGCCGAGGATGCCGAGCAGCTGGCGGTTGCCGCGGCGGTAGCGCGGCGCGTCGTCGGCGCGGTAGATGTTCGACGCCACGATCCCCCCCGCCTGGCAGAACATGTTGTAGCACGCCGCCGACACCGTCCGGGACCGCACCGTGTTCGAGTTCCGCGAGTTCCAAGCCACCTGGATTGGATGCGCTGCAGCGGTGCGAGGTGGGCAGTTAGTACTCGGGATCTCGAGTTTCTCAAATCTCCACTGCTCGCTCTCTCTATTCCCTATGTTGCCCCTGCTTATACGGCGTGGGAAATAAAACGGGGAAGGCAGAGGAAGAAGAACTATGGAACCGGCTTACGGTTGGGATAGCCTAGCAGCAGAGTGGTAACGGTCCATATCACCCACCGGCTGGTGGTGGTCATGTCGACGACGTTGAGGTAAATCAAGAAGGGCAGGGCCCAGATCTGCCCGACCATCGACATCAGAGTGAGCTCTCCGAAAATCTCGGCGGCGTAGCTAAGCGCGAGCATCGTGATGACTAGGCAGAGAATCTCAGCAGGCGAGCAGTTGACGGGAACGGGCCCATATGTAAACATCTACGAGTCTAGGTGTTTGTGCTTACTGTGAATCACGGTATACGGGATCGTGAGCAGGTTCGACGTGAACGTGCTGAAGTTCATCTGCCGTAGCGATAGGGTTAGGTACTGCCCTTCGGGTGTCATCGGAATCTGGAAGGATAGGCCGAGGATGTACAGCGGCCAGAGGTCGTAGTCTTGGAGGCACTTCCACAGCAGACGGGGCGTGATCGGCTGGCGGTTGTGCATCTCGCTCTTGCTTGGGTCCTCGCGCAGCACACGGTTGACGATGATGGTCTCCTCGCGCTCCGTGAACCAGCCCTTCTTCCCCCGGAACCAGCTAGCGGTCTGGCACGGGCCCGGCGGCATCAGGAGAAAGGAGAATATCCCGACTACGGCGGTAACCAGAGCCTGCGCCACGCGAGTTAGCCCGGACGAGTGGGGAGAAGCACGATGTAGGATCGGACATCGGATAAGGCGACGTACCTCAAGGAGGAACAGCCAGCGCCAGCCCGAGTAACCGAGTACGCCGCGCATCTGTAGGAGCCCGGCCGCTAGAAGCGCGGATAGGATGTCGGCAACGCTCATCATGGTCCAGAAGAAGGCCAGACGGAGGGTTAGCTCGTGGTGCTTGTAGAAATACGACAAGTAGAGGATGACCTAGAGGGGCCGGGGCAGATCAGTCAGTATTGTCCCCATGTTCTCCGCCGCATATTTCGAGCAGGCGCGCAGCCGGTTGACGGAGTTGCGCGATCGCTCTCCACTCACATCGGGGATGAAGCCTCCCTGCAAGATCGCTAGCAGCGCCCGCGTAACTAGGAACGAGGACCTCCCGCTGAGCCAAAACTGGGCTGCGGCGACGACGCTCCAGAGGACCATCTGCATGGGGATCCAGCGGTCCGGGCCCATCCACTTGGACACGAGCTGCGAGGGCAGCTCCGCACATAAGAACGACAGCTTGAAGACCGTGTTTCCGAGGTTGTAGTCTGCGCGTTTGCCCTTAGTATACTGTGTCAGGATTCCGAATTGTCGCTCGACTCGAGGACAACGGAGCAGCCAGGGTAGCCAGATATCAAGAGGCATGGAGGGGGAAGGGGGGGGGGGGGGGGGGGGGAGGGTGGTGACGAATAGCTGCTGCACGTACCGTTCGTGGTCAAGTGAAGGTCGTCGAGGAAGTTGTCCGTCAGGGCCTGCGATATATTGGCGCGGTCCAACTCGAGGGCCATGAACATGATGCAGGCCCATATCATGATCCTCCAGTCGCACTTGCGCACCACCGCATATTCCTCCGCCCACGTCCACCGAGCCCTCGGATCGAAGCGATGCGAGTTCTCCCTATCATCCACACGTTGGTCAGACGCCAGGCCTTTGCGTATCTTCTCCCTCAACCACGTGGGGGCGCGGGGCTAGACTCGTGTGTGACGCCCAATTACTTACCAGTCCTCGCGGGGTTGATATTTCTCCGCGGCCAGGGGATCGTCAAAGACGCTGGGCTGTTCGCACACACAACATTCGTCATCAATATGGACTTGAACCCCTCAAGGCATTCGGAGTTTGGAGGATTACCAGGGTCGCGATTGCGTTGGGATCAAACCCCTTGGTCCGCTGGAACCAGAAGCGCTTCTCTTCCTTCAGCACTCCCAACGGCGGGATGCTATCGAGTGAGGTCGTGGAGGCGCTTGCCGGTTTCTTGTCGCCGACGGCGTCTTGGACGAGGACGGTTGCCATGCTTTTTAATGGCGTGCTTGTTTGGATACCGAAATATGATCGGACCTATCTTCCTGTGGCAAGCTGAAAACCCAAGATACCGAACGCCATGCTTTATACAGGTGCGCCCTATCTGGTCCGGCGGGAGAGTGTAACATTGCAACCCTAGCCGTATGGCATCATCGGTTACGATGATTACCAACATACATACCCATCAGAAGGACCTGGTGGCCAGTGTATGCGGATTTCCGGCTTAGGCCAATGTCCCATTTCGCATACTACGGTATGGATTCCATGACAGGCCTGAGCACCTGAACTCCCCTCTCCAAGCCGAATAAGCGAGAGCAGTGGCGTTGCGGTAATAGCTCATATATTGCTCACTGACGGGCCCGGAATTAAACTCTATAGGTTTCTTCCATCTCAGTTATGATAACGAAGGATCCGACGGGTGGGACGACATGGGGATAGTCTTTTCTGTAACCTGTAGATACCGGCTTTTCTATGGGACGGCGTTCCACCATGGCCTATGAAATGGCGGTATTATCCTAGATGCGGCTACGGGGACCCTACCAATGCCTCGGGACACCGGAGATAGCTCGCCAATTCCACCTCAGGATTGTGCTGCCCGGAAAGCGGTAATATGACTTAGAGCGTACATTTAGGGTCTTGAATGTCTGCCGTGGCTACAAGAAAATATCGAGCACGGCAATCTAAGCTCAGGGGTTAGGCCATTTCAACTATTGAACAAGCTGGCGATAAGCTGGTGATAATCCACGAGAAACCCCTCTCAGAAGCCGAAGTTGACAAGATTCGAAGGCGTAACTGTAAGCTGCAAGGATCATGTTGCACATCGCCTCTCCGATGTTCGATGATGACAATTGGAGGTTGAATGTCGCGATGTGTCGCCATCAGGATTGACCATCTAGGCCATGAGAAATTTCCCCAACCCTCATTGGTGCCTTTGCTGCAGCTTGAGCTAGAATGAGACCAGCATCATCCAAGGTTGCGATAAGTTATCCGACGGACCCTTGTCGGAATACTCGACGAAGTCGTACGGACAGAGGAGGTGGGATAACAACTGGAACAGCTGGGGTGTTAGCACAGCTAGGATATACCTGAGGAACCCAGATTGAACTCCGGGATAAACCTCGAGAGCGTAGCTCCTAAATCGGATGCTACTTCGACGATATAAGGGATGGTGTTAGAGTCTCGGCTACAGGAGTAGCTATAGTCTATCATACATCTTCTAGGTATTATATAAATGTAGCGACCGCGATACCCGTGGTAGACACGAAACTAAAAGGTTGATCCAGATCATCGCCCTTTTCTATCTCCTTCCCTTGTGCTCTATTCGCTTTAGGGCTATAATGTCGCGATGAACGGGACGAGGCTAAGTGTCATCGTTGAGTATTAGCGGGTTAACGAGCCATCGTGACGGGAATACGTGCGGGTTTTCGTCTGTACGTGCGCTATAAAACGGCTTAGAGTCGCTGAATCACTCGTATCACCGATGGAGAGCCAAGTATTGTTCGATGTAGATCCGTGATTCATTTAATTATCCGCACGAATAGAACAAGACTCGTGATTGTGATGGCATACGTATTCTTGGTTATAAAACGGCCGATAATCTTGCAAATTTTCCGCGACATTGAGGGTCAATCGCATACTTTATTGCCATGTTACTCGACCGCTAGGTTGGCCAAACTGCGGAATTTACATCGAAATAATTGGCAATCTTTCCATGGGTTCTTTGAGAGGCATCAAGAGCAACACGGCGGTAAGCTTTGCCGCACTGAAGCCGCGGATTAATAGCTCCCGGAGATGGCGTGTCGTGGGAAGGCCAGAGGATGAACGCGATCCTCGCAGCATCCAGGAGGTCTCTTCTCACAAGAGCAGTATTACGGTCCCTTCAGGCAATGAATCCGGGTCCACTACCACCGAAGACACCATGGAGGTTTCTGTTAAGCTAGGAACTACCGGGATCAGCAAAGCACACCCTAGAGATGACGCGAGCTCGGTGCTTCCCCGAATACCCGAGGGAGATATCACGTATCATACCTCACCATCCCCGCCAGTCAAAGCGAGAATGGACCACTTCGGGTATGGGAAATCCCCTCTCGGTGAAAAGGAAGCCACTACAAGGACGTCTCATAAAGAAAATTGGCCGAATACTGAATTTAAGACTGTGTCCCCTTCTCCACGGGTCCCGCCGAAATCGTTTCGAGACAAGATACATGGTAGACGTTTTAGCAAGAGCCCAGGACGGTTAATGGAGGAATGTTCTGAGTATACGCTGGCACGCAAATATTCGCAGGCCCGCGGCCGAGAATGGCTCTAGAAAATGCGCTGCTAGGAGGGAGATGGATCAAATTATCCGCGTGGTTGAATTCTCATGTGGCGTGTCCCTCGGTTCCGAGGTTACTAGCCCTACATCTTTCCACCGACTTGATGTATTCGACGTCCTTGTCGTGCTGCTCGGCGGGTACGTACGTCCAACTCTTCGACGTTGCATTCCAAGCTCTCTCTGGGAGGTAAGCCTCCAGCATGTAGTAGTTGTCCCTGTGGTAGGGAATATCGAGGCTTGGGGGGCCAGGCCCGGCCAGGAACCGATCCGAGCCAGACTCTAGATCTTCTTTCGACATGAAGAAACGCTGCCTCTTGTTTCCTTTATTCTCTGTATGGCGGCGTATCGACCTCGTCGTCGAGTCCAAGTGAGTCTCGAGCAGCCGAGCGTGCCAGAGCGGGCTACGCAAAGCCTTGCGTACGATAGCCGCGTTCGAGGTAACGAGAGCTCGGTTCCATTCGGGGAGCCGCCCGGGGGGGATCATGGGGATGGGTTCACCTATATCCAGATTGCGTTGCCAGTGGGCGAAGTCGACGACCAAACAGAGAGACAGCCACCGCTGCAAGCAAGTCAGGCAGGTGCATAATTCTCCGGGGTCCGGGGGTTGAACATGCAGAGGGAACCTCCGGTATATGTTTAGCTGGTCCTGTCGATGTGGGCTCTGAACGAAGACACGAATAGCCGGGTCCATCTGCTCTATGAGAACAGGTGACCGAAAACACCTCCCTAGGCAGACATAGCGCCAGCTGGAGATGGCCCTGGCGATGCTACCCTCGCTATCGGTGATGAATAGGTGGAATGATCTGTTGACGCGTTGGAGATTGAATATGTCACTCGGACGGAGGAAGGACAAGATCTCTATGACAAGCTCGTACGGCAGGCTCATCAAGTAGTGGTACGGCTGATGACCGGTCTTACCGGCCTTTCTAGCTTGTCTCTTTCGGGCCCTCTCGGTGCGCCTGGAGCGGAGAGTTAGGGGCTCGGTCTTGTCCTCCAACGCACCCAACTCGTCATCCTCGTCGACATCAACGCTCCGCATGATTCTGATCGGGGGTGGCGAGCGGCTGACTAGCGGATCCAAATGGCCAAGCCGCCTGGCTCTCGGGGTTGGGCGTTGATTCCTTTTGGAGTCGAAGGTGGCAAGGGAGGAGACGCGGTGGCCAACGGAGAGCGCTAGGAGTGGCAGCCGGCAAAGTAGTGTGCTGACGCGATGCTGCCACCTGGCGCACTGCGGGGTAAGTTACCTAGCCGTCACGGGACCTTGGGTTTCACGTGGCTACTGGGTAGGTACTTAGGCAGGCGCTTTAGCTACATAATGGACCCGCGCTGACCTTAGTTTCCTAAAGTAACCTACCTAGCTAAGATAGGTACCTGCTTAAGATGATAGGTTACCTGGTAACGTTGAACGCGTTGTTCAAGAAAGCATCTACATCCGCTCGTTTAGCTGGCCATTCATACAGTGTGGAAGGTAAGCAGGATAGGATCTCGACTGATCACCGGAACATATGATGGACACGCCGGCGTGATTTCTAAGGACAGGCCGAGTCCTAATCAACTACTCGCTCCTCATAGGTATAAACTGATCACAACTCGCCGACCATATTACCTACCGTTCCGATCAAGCCGGCTCCCTTCCCACGACTCCTCTACGCCTCACTTCCCCTTCCACCATACCCCAGAGAAGACCAAGACAACAAACTAGGTATAAAAATACGTACTCGCACCATGGCCATCTACCACGTCGTGCTGTTCAAGTTCAAGGTGCTGGTGCCGCAGGACGAGGTCAAAGCGGTGGGTGAGCCCGACGCCTTGCGTGTCTTACCCGTCCCTACGAACGACGGCTGCATACGCTCTCGGACTTGTTGCTGACTCTGGAAACGCTGGAGGCTTGCACCCGGATGCTGGCCCTGGGCGACCACTGCATCCACCCGACGTCCCAGAAGCCATACGTCAAGGTCATCGGCGGAGGGAAGGACAGCAGTCCAGAGGGGCATCAGGTCAGACCCTTTCTCTCTCGTCCCCCCCCCCGCTCCCACACCTACACCTCCATGGCGATGCCGTTTCTTCCCCTGGGAGCCGGCGTAGCTTGACGCTGACGGCCTGCTAACCCCCGCATAGCATGGCATGACACACGTGTTCATCAGCCAGCTCGAGAACGACGAAGACAGGAAATACTACCTCGAAACGGACCCGGCGCACCTCGAGTTCATCGAGAGCACTAGGGACATACTCGATAGAGTCCAAGTGGTCGATTTCACGCCCGGCGAATTCTGAGCAGCGGGGGAGGGCTGCACCGCACCTGGGCAGGGTGCGATTTCGCGGTGGCGATGGGTCAGGGTGCTATGGCTGTGGCGTCGACGGGCTGCGTAGCGATTCAGGATCGACAAGAGGGAAGCAGCGCGGCGCCGGATTGGATGGACGTATTCCCTAGCACCAGCAGGTCAGTTGGCCTGGGAAGAAGACGGTGCAAGTATGAAGTAGGTTAACAACAGGCTACAAATACCGTCCGAAATAGAGTACACACCTTACATACCTGTATGGATGCATGCACATCCCGGCAGCTAAGGCGGCGCATCCGTCCAATGGGACTCGATCAAATTCGACTCCTTCATCGCAGCCCTATATCGAACCTCCCCACCCTCTGGCCCTGGTGTTTCTGCCGCTCGCCTATGTGGGAGGGACGTGGTATAGATACGCAAGGTGCCTCGGGTAGAACGTAGACGTGTTAGGTACCACGCCGGTGGCTAAGCCCATAGGGATAGGAGGCAACCCATGTGAGCAGGGCTCCGGCAGGGCTCTGGCAGGTCTCTAGCGCTGATCCCCACCATTCGGGGGGCAGAGGCAAGATTAATTGGCGCATCTACCCCTTCTCGTTCCTCGGTAGTAGTAGGGAGGTGCTCTGCACTGCTACCTGCAGATTCTCTATGCATCCCGCATCGGCTTAGAGGTGGACTCAGACAACGGGATATGAGGTTCACATACCTACAGAGTCCGTTTAAGATAGGTCCACGGCTGCTTTACGCAGGTCAGGTCGGGTTAGGTAGGTAGCATGACCGCGGTCCAGTATGCGTCTATACGGATCTAGGCATGCCAGCCACCCCACCATGCCTACCTTGAGGCATACCAAGTATAGAACGCGTGTATGTCCATACTACGTGCCTCAGCTCAGGGTAGGTAGGGTAGTAATTGATGTATGGCGCATGCCTATGCCGTGCCAGTGTCATGCCGACAGTTACCCTTTCGTTGCTACCTACCTACCTACCTACCTCTCTTCGCATCCTTCGGGGCCGCTGCTCGGCTCCGTGGCTGGCTGGCTTTTCCTCACCACCGGCACGGACCCGCGGCGTTGCTTTTGGCAGCCCAACCGACGTACGCGATCATGATCCAATAGTTCAAGAATACGCTGCAGCAGAATCGGCTAGTGACTTTTCCGTTGCTCGATCTCCCAAGTTCGACGCCCGTCAAGTTACATCGAGACTATGTGTGCCCTGATAGGAGCATCGGGTAAGTAGGTAGGCAGGTAGTTAACGACTTGACCTCCCAAAACAACGTGGTAAGCGGCACCTGTTTACTGTGTGCTTGTATTCGGCACCACAGGTCAGGCGCCCACGGTATCGAGGGTGACTAGACGCCTACAGGCGATCTACTCCTATCGTGGCGGCCTGTCCTGTGACTAAAGTGTCGCCCAGGCTCGAGCCATAAGCTAGGTTACTATGACCACAGCATTATGCTGCCGTCAGTATAGGCGCCCGGGGATGACGCAGAGGCGATGAGTGGTAAGTTGGACCAACATGCTTAAAAGGTGCCTGTCGAACGATAGGCGCAACGGACGGATTGCGGGAGGTTGACAACGCAGGACTAATGCTGCTCTCCCGATATATGGATGTAGGTATAGGGGGTCGATGGGTAGGTGCTGGGTATTTCGTGTTGAGGTGGGTTGGCTCATGCACCTATCCCTCGGGTACTGACGTCCCCCCTCCAGGCTTGCTGATGTAGGTACTTTGAGGTACCTAATTCAGCTATTAGAGGAAGCGTATGGGTGCCTACCTCCTAGGTATGTATGTACCTAGGTGCTTAGGCACCTGAGGTAGCTTCCAAGGTACCCCTCTGGTATCCTCTCCAGCGTCTATAGGTACAAGTGTCGGTACGATTAGTAGGATAGGTGTACCTTGAGCACCTTAGGAGGTGGGTAGGTACTTGCACGCCAGGCGATCGATGTAGGGCGGTACATGGCATGTACTTGGGTGTGGATGCCGACTGATCGTCCACACCAATGCTTATCGCGCCCTAGCCAAACCAGCAAGCTCTGCCAGAGAACGAATCCCATACACCACCACCCACCCATCCGTCCATATCCATCCATCCACACCACACCACACCACACGTACACAACACACACTTCCATACATAGGACACCCAGTCTTTTCCTTCACCCTCACCTTTGTCTACGCACGATCCCATCCGCCCTCCGCCGTCTTCCCTAGCTTGGAGATACCAGACAGATCCAGCCGGCTGCCCATTCCTGACAAACAGCCCCCAGTCATCTCGAGATCCTGACTATCCTCTCTCATCATCGCCTATATCTACCATAAAAGTTCCCTCGAGGCATGACGAGCTGAAATCTCCATCGTCCTCTATCGCAAGCCACTAGGCAAAGGAGCCTTTTTGCGCCGTGGCAGCAGTAGGGTCTCTCTTCTCTCTCCCGGCCTGTTTTCCCCACTGCTCGCACCACTCAACCCACCACTGCCATCGAACCATCTTCCGTTTACCACCTGCCACGTCTACGAGCTCTAGCTTGGACGCGCCGACGACACCACCCGAGTCCCGCCACCTCCGAGCCGTCCGCCTATGATAGCAATCCCGTCCTAGTCGACTCGCCAGGCCCGCCGAATATGTCTCAGCAACAGACTGCCCCGATGCTCATCAATGTCCCACCCCCACCATCCAATCCAGACACCCCAAGCGACGTGCCGTACGTAACCTGCCCTTTCGTCCCCTGTGGTTTCTCCCTATAGATTGCAGAGTCGCTGTGCTGACCAGCCCGTACCCGTCTATATACAGTGGCACTCCCACCAGCACCACCACTTCGCTCTCCGCCGTCTCTACCACGGCGATTAAGGATGGCCACCGCGGCCAAGCCCACCATGCCCTCGGCTCCCGCGGCCACCACCACCACTCCTCGACGAACAGCCTAGAAGCGGAGCGCGCCGACCGCATCAGTCGCCTCGCCGGCCTCGAGCGTGTCTCGACCATCCGCGCCCCCAACCAACATCTGAACCCCAACTCGCCCCAGGTCACACCCACATCTGCTGGCTTCCCCTCCCAGCAGCCGGCGCCCCTCACGCCAGCCTACTTCGACTCTAATGGACAGCCCACCGCAGTTACTAAAGTCAGCACGGTAGGGACGGCATCAGCGACGGGTAGCCTCGGCGCGCGGACCACTGCCGATGCGGGCGATCAGTTCGAGATGGATACTGACCTGACCGAGGTTGACGAGGAGGATGACATGAGCACCGACGCGAATTATAGGCAGATGGACGTCGACTCTACGTCTGGACCTCTGGATCCGATGGACGAGGACATTTCGGGCCGTTCTGTCGGCGGCTACGAGGATCGCATGAGCGACGACGGAACTGCCAGCTTGGTCGCCTTTGGCGAGGGCGCAAATAGCACCGTCAGCGGACCCATCTACCACCGTAGGCCTCTACCCGGCACCGGCGCCTGGGGCTTGGAGCGAAGCAGCTCCGGCCTGAGCCAAGAAGCGACGACGCGAAGCCGCGAGGTGCGCGATATCGCTGGTAGCGAGACCCCCGTCAGCGCATCCGCTGCCGCCGAGAGGCGAGAAGCTAAGTATGTCGACGGCGTTGTCGCTGACGGCGGTGGTCACGTCGGCGCCTCGGATGACGACGTATTCGTGGACACCACGACTCGCGGACCCGTGCCCATCCAACCCGGCCAGCCACGTACGAGCGCCCTTCGAGAAGGCGTCGGCGGACCGGCCATGCGAGAGGCAGCCGAGCGCATCGTACGAGAGCGCCTCGACGGCGGCGAGGGCCGCGCCCCCGTCCTCGGCCGGTGCAAGGACAGCGGTAAGCTCGGCAAATTCTACTTTGAGGATAATCATAAATAGGGAAAGAAAGAAAGGCTGGCGCGGTAAGAGGTTGTCGCGCGGAGAGTTGGTCGGTTCAGGGGATTGCTTTTACGATTAACGGAGTTATACTGGCGTTCGGGGCAAAATCTCCACTGAGAATAGTGGAGGGTGGCCCAGCCGTCTTTTTATCACCGGCCGGCACACACCTACAGACATATGCACATGGTCAAGAAGACGGGGGGGACGGTGGGCGACGGACACTCGTTGTTTTCTAGGCTCCCGCTGGGAACCTCGAAGAACTCGGTTTGCGCAGGTCCGGACCCGGGCCGATTGGTGTATGTTATGGTCGTGTATGCGTAAATGTGCGATTGTATTCGCTCAAGGTCTCCCCCCCCCCCTCCCCGGGAAGGGAGAGCACGTAGCAATCGGGCGGACAGCCGCGGCTGGTCCTATGGTCCTACTAATTGTAATCGATTACTACTGCTCCGCGACGCGCCGGTGGCGTGCGAACTACCTACGATGAAGCCAGTTTGGGGTTGAGAGGTATCGTAGAGATTATGTATGTACAACACTAGCAGTCCAGCAGTGTCGGCGTCCTCCCGTTCTGCTCGATCTCCTCCACTCCCCCCACAACACGATCAGCTCGTAAGCGTCGCGCAGCCCTCACCCGCCCCTCCGAGCAGCGCACACCCCAACCCAAACCAACGCCCCGCCTCTCTACACCACCGTGATGTCGACAAGCCTCGACGTGTCGACGCGGAAGCGCCCGCCGCCGAAGAACCCGCGCTCCTTGAAATCCTCGCCGTCCATCGCGCCGTGGAGGTAGCACTCGCCGACGAACTCGTACGTGTCGTCATCTGCCGGCGCCGCCGCCGCCGCCGCGAGCGGCCGCATCATGTACGGCGCGAACCCGCCGACGCACGCGACGACCAGGTCGCCGGGCCGCGCGCCGCCCTGGTCCGCGCCGGCCGCGTCCTGGCCCGGCAGCTCGCCGGCCAGCGCGCGCGCCGTGATCCGCGCCAGCCGCGGGTCCCGCTGCGCGAGGTAGTCCTGGAAGCTCGCGAGCATGGCGCGGCCGAGGGGGTCGGCGAGGGCGGGGCCGAAGTTGGGCGGGCGCGCGGGCGCGGCGCCCTCCGCCTGCTGCTGCTGCTGCTCCCCCTCCTCCTCCTCCCCCTCCTCCTCCGCCGCCGGCGCCTCCCGCAGGTTCGGGTCCGCGGCCGCCGGGTCCTCGACCGCGGTCATGCCGAAGCGGCCGCCCTCGGTGCGGAAGAGGCGGCGGCCGGCGGCGTGGCGCGCGACCAGGTCGGCGAAGGGGGCGCCGCGGCCGGCGCGCCGCGCGAGCTCCGAGAAGGCCGGGCTGGCGGCGATGCGCGCCTGCACTGCCGGCTCGCGCAGCTCCGCGGCCGACTCGCAGCCCAGGCCGTCCGTCAGGCTCTCCTCCGCTACGAGGCTGTCGAAGTAGGCGGCGAGCGACGCGTCGGCGCGCGCCGTCAGCGAGTCGTGAAACGCCGTCGCCGGCCCGCCGGGCGCCGCCGCCGCCGCCGCCGCCGACTGCGGGTCCCGCCCCACGTCCAGGATCAGCGTGCGCCAGAAGCGCTCCGTGCGCTGCGCCGGCGCCTCGCCCGGGTACGCGGCGAACGCGCTCGGCGGCAGCGCCGACACCGCGCGCAGCTCGGCCACCGCGAGCCGCCGGCAGTTGCCGCCGTGGATCAGCGGCGATACGTAGGCGACGCGGTCGAGCGGCCGCGCCTGCAGGTGCAGCGCCGGGCGGCCGGCGCGCGTGGACACGGCGATGAGCTTCGCGGCGGCCGGGTCGTCGCGCGGGATCGCGTCCCACCACGCGCGCATGCCCGTCTGCTGGCTCGCCATCACGCCCGTCTTCGGGTACACGGCGCTGAAGTCGGGGACCCACGAGGGCAGCCCGCGCAGCCGCTTCGCGCAGGGCGGCCGCTCGCCGAACCACAGCATGAGGTCCTGGCGCTCGAGCGCGCAGTACCGCGCCGCGTCCGTGAACACCTCCTCCACCGTCTTGCTGTAGTCGATGGCGGGCAGGGGCTGCGGGCCGCCGGCGTGGAAGTTGACGCGCGCCGACGGCGTCGCGATGTGCAGCATGGAGAAGACGCTCTCGCGGGGGTCGACCTTGGCGCGCATCCCTTTTCCCTTGGCGCCGTTGGTGATAGGCCCGAGGCCGCCGGTGCAGTCCCGCGCGGTCCCGATCATGGGCAGGAGCTCGACGGACTCGCCGAGCCGGCGGCGGCGCTCGGCGATCTCAATGGTGTTCGCGGTCTCGAAGCCGTGCATGACGCTCGGCAGCAGGGGCACGCCGCCGAAGAGGCGCGCCTGGAAGAAGGGCAGGGCGCGCGACGCGGCGATGTAGTCGCGCCACCGGATGCCTCCGCCTACTTCTCCTCCTCCTCCGCCCGTTTCCGGCGGCGAGGCGGAGGAAGATCCGGCGACGACGATGACGGGCGCGCGCGCGAGAACGATTTCCGACACGGGCTGCACGCAGCGCCAGTAGCCGGCGCCGAAGATGGCGTAGATGCGATTCCACAGGCCGAAGTTGAACGAGTCGAGGTCGTCGTACGGACACGCGTGCAGGTCGTCGCGGATGCCCTGGAGCTGGCCTAACGTCGCGTGCGACAACCCGACATTCTCACTGAGTCCTACCCGCGCGCTCGCCGTCTGGAACCGCAACGCCATCTCGCGGATGATCTCGACTGCGCGCGCCGTCAGGTCTTCTTCTTCCTTCGCCTGGGCCTCTCCGGCCACCCCCTCTTTCTTCCGGCTCGGTTCCGGCGTGAGCCAGCACAGCGTGCGCTCCGCGCCTGTCAGCACGTGCCGCGTCGTTACCGCTGCGGCGCTGCGCTCTTCCGCCGTACCCCCCACGAGCAGGTCCGCCCAAAGCGTGCGTGTGCGGTCCCGCCGGCGGAACGCGCGGAGGGCAGCCGCGAGGGCGGCCGGTACGGCGACAGGCTCCCCGTCTACCGAGATGGTGGTTTCCGGGGCCAGGTCCGCGTCGGCGTCCAGGGGGACGGAGCGGTCGTACGAGATGCACTCATACGCCGTCGACCCGAGCAGCGCGTCCATCGTGCTCAGCTCGATGGGCGCGTCGCGGGTTTCGGCTGGTTGCAGGGCGGCGAGGCGGGCCACGACGTTATCCGGGTTAAATAGGGCTGAGAAAGGGTTGCCCCCGGACGAGGCGGATGCCGAGGCCATAGTTGCGATGCCGGGTGTGCGGTGGGGACGATGTCTATGCACGCCGCCACGGGCACGATCTGAGGGAGTAAAAATAAGGTTGGAGATTTGTCTCGCCGGTATGAAGCAGCCGCGGGTGCTGGTTACGGCGAGAGTGCTGGTAATAGGCGAGAGAGTGGAATGACGAGTGGTTCGTAGGCGTGGATATAATACCCGTGGACATCTAAGCAGCAGTCTCTCCATATGGGCGAATATTTATACACGTTTGGTCTGTCTCGGATACCGACCGTATCCCTAGGCAGCCGTGGTCGCTGCCTACCGTGTCGATGCGGAATGCAGCTGTGCGCCTGGGTGCTGTAGCGACGCCGAGAAGGAATTGGCGTGCACCTCGCCGTCGATCAGGAGCCTGCGAGGAGATGTATCTATCGCGTGGCCTGCCTAGGGTCCCTTAATCCTCACGATCGCGTCTGCAGCCTATTCTGAGGCTTCTTTCAGCCTAGCCCCAATCTCGCTTGAGTGGACCGACCTGGTATTGCTAGCGCCCTAGCTTGACTGGATTGAGCCGGTAGAAGGATGGATGGTATCGCCAAGTGTAGTAGGGAGCCGTGTAGGTTGTATAGCTGCCTCCTCTTCGGGAAACCCTCGACCTTTTAATAAGGTAGGCTTGGGGGTTGGAAGGTGGCAGATATTCAATTAAGCAGTTCTATGCCTTACCTATTCACTTTCAGCCGCCGGCGAGACATAGGTATTTAAGTGGTAAATAATACATAAGAAGGATCGTATTAGCTTAGCAATGAATAGGAATGAATGAACTAAATTGAATCGCCCCGGATCAATAAGGAAGGACATGAAAGTGATTGATTAATTGATGGTTGAGAGCATACCTACCTGTCAATACACGCTTAGTCGTCCTAGTGAAGGAGCTCCTTATAGAGGGATAGGCCATTAGCGGTGGCCTGCACCTACACCCAAGCCTGGGGTTTCCATACCTATATAAAATGGTCACTATTAGCAACCATGCGACTCTGTAGCCAAGGGTCGTTCTGTCGCCTCCCTAGTTAGACTGGAGAAAACCCCGGCGCGCCGAAATCATGGCCATGTCAGTGGCTAAAATACGATGATTTGACGCCAACGCGCCAGGCTCAGTCCCATTTACCATCCACAGATGTTTTCTTCTCTTTCCCTCGCCGTCACCCGGGAATAGCGAAGAATAGCAAACGAACTCCTCGAATTTAGATTTTCCAAAGTATTTCACTTGAGCTTTCGATTGCTTTAAAGAAAAGAGTCAAAAGACCAAATGCTTTTGCATCTTTAAATCCCTAAGTTGTCCGTTATGCGTATGCCCACTACATATGCATCAACCCCATACAATAGCTATAGGCGACCATAAGCCATCATAATATGGACGCTTATACGTCCGACCTTAGGGAAACAGGATGTTCGATGGCTATTAGCCCTCAGTGTGGACGTCGTCGGAAGACATTACTAACAATGAATGATGGAAACTCTCGGAAGGATATCGGTAAACGGTGCCATTAAAAACCACCGTGGGATGTGTTTGCCACGGTGCTTCTTCTTTCTCCCCGCTCTCCCCTGGTCCCCGGTCCCGAATCCACGCAGTAGAACTGCAAGCGAAATGGCACGCGCCCAGGGCAATAACACGTTTGGATAAACCGGAAAGCGACGCCTTCTGATAACGATAGATTAAAACCCCGAGGTGACGGATCGGCGGCTTCTCTTGGGGTGGAATGTTGCCCAGGATCGGACTTAATCGTGTACAGCGACCTGGACCTGTGGATAGACCTGGACCATAGACTGGTAGAGTTCGGGATGGTTACGGATCAAGGCTTGCGGGTCCCACGCTGTTGCTACGAAGATCGTGTCGATGCCGCTGCTTATCGGCACCGTGAAGATGTTGCAGATCTGCAGGCCGATGAGGAATGCGAAAGCCACGACAACTAATGGCACCCCAGGTTAGGCGACAGCTAATTAAGCTATAATGATAGCTCTTGCCACGAGCAACGAGGCCTCGCGTGGAGAACCATGGCCTAGCAGCATCGCGGGAGGGGAGTGGGGAGAACGTACCAGGTGTGTAAGAGCCGTCGGCGTTGTAAGCAGGGCGGGTAAACACCTAGAACGCCTAAGTGAGCAGCCTGACCCGATATCTCGTCATTCACGACACTTACCAGGTATAAGAACGCCAGAAGACTTGTTGCGTAGCCGACAAATGTGGCACCCATAGACAGGACTGGGCCGATGAGACACTCGTTGATTAGGGCATCGATACCGCGATCCTTGATCATCGTCCAGGTTTCCTTGGCGGCGGCGAAGTACGATTTTCCGTACAGGGCGATGTAAGAGAAAGCGTAACGATTGAGGAACTGGACGGCCCAATCCAGGAGCGAGATGAGGCATCCGAGGATCCAAAACATGACGGTGCCGATGATGTTGCCCTGCGCCGCCTCGCTTTGCCGAGCAACGGAGCACAGCTGCCGGAGAAAGTTGATGACGGCGACGAAAAACGAACCCAGCGAGATGGAACCGAAGCTGTACGTGAGAGCTCTCCGGAGGCTCCCTCGGGTGGCGCCCTTAGGCAGATTGTGCGGATGGAAGTACCAAGATCCGTAAACCCCCGAAATCGTGGTGTGGATGGTGTTCTTCAGCCATTCCGAAATCCAATACATCGCAAAGGTGATGAATACGATGAGGCCGATGACCTTGCCATTGCTGCACCCACCGGCACCCTGGGCGCACGCCGGGTTTACCCCGGGAGAATACTTGGCGTATACAGCAACCAAGGTGACCGAGTACCAAGCGGCGAGCGCGGTGGCGCAGAGACCTCCCAAGGCGCTAACCAGGTAGACATGGCCGTAACTCTTGGAAACGTCGACGGCCGTCCTGAGCATGAGGGCGCTGAAGGGGATGCGGGGGATCCAAGTCTAGAAAAGTCAGACTCGGTGACGACCGACAATGTCATACATCGGGGGGGGGGGTCGGCTCACTATGAAGGCGAAGATGAGGAAGGCGACAAAAATCAAAAAGACGATGCCGCCCGAGTAGTATTGACGCGAAAGCATATAGATTGCCGTCACGAGCCCAAAGACGATGTTGAGGATGCCGCTGCAAGAAACGTTAGTCTCATCGCATTTTCGGCGTTCTCGGTTCGCGGGAACATTCAGCTGTTCGCAGGGCAGACTAACGTTATCCAGATAAACTGCTTTGGAAACTGGCGCGCAAGCAACACGTATGCATAGCTAAAGACGATGGCGACGCAGAGGCAGAAGGCAAAGAGGATGAGCGTGTTGGTATTGAGCCCGACAGCCGACCTAGAATCGTAGATGGAACCTCCTTGGAAGCTTCTGTTCGAGGCTGCGATCAGTTAGTCAAGAGTGGGAGCAAAGCGCCCTACGCGGAGAGCATGGACTTAACCGACGGACCATAGCCATTGATCGAGATGCCAGAGACGGCAACGAAGCCGGCGCAGACGATGAGGAACTAGAGACGTCAACGACTTCTCTCGGCGGTCAAGTTGGAGGGATGCGACGCACTGCAATGCCGGCCCAGAGGTCGTTGTATTTCGGACGCTCGACCCGAAAGGCCTGGTCGAACATGGGCTTCTCTTCGATCTGGCCATAACCATAGTTCGGGGCTGAGCCTTGAGGACCGGGCTGGCCGTACTGGCCATATTGATAGGGCTGGCCATACGGGTTCGGCGGAGGCTGCGAGTTGAAGTAGGAAGCGGCTTCGCCGCGCGATTGATTGTCCGCCATCGCGATGCGACACCGAGACGAACGACTTCTTGGCGATGATTTTTACTTGTGCGAGAGCGACGAAATAGTTCCTGCAGGGGCCGTCGATGATGGCAGTAATAGTCGCGTCACTGTTCCTGAAATTGGGGAGAGGACAAAGAAGATGTTGTTGTGCTGATGGCTTCTGCTGGAATGGGAGCTCGGGCAATTCTTCTTATGCTAGGATAGCATTGACATCATTGAGAACCCATACCTACATTTTTATCGCAAAGGGACGGGACGTGTTACATTGGGGGGGCCGGCACTAGCAGAGAATCTTCCCCAAGGAGACAGCTTGCGCTCGAGCTCCAGTCGATTTATGGGACATCGAAGTTGGTGGTGGCATCGTGTCGCTATTAGCTTCGCACACGCAGAGGGGTGCGCCGTACTCCTCGCGCCACTCGATGCGCATGACGGATTCCACCCATAAACCAAACCGTATATGAGACCTTGGCTTTTTCCCGTTTCTTTGAAACCCGGCACGACCAACCGACTAGACCAACTATCGACCGCGTTGCGCCGGCCACCCGTAGCTCGGCAAGTGGCGTTACCGTCGTCCCACCACTCATTGGGTGCACACATCCCCAGAGCAGTGCATTTCTCACTTTGTCTCCAGGTGTGTTGTGGTGTGTCTCACTAGATCTCAGAGCCAAGCCTAACTATATTAGCCACTGCTTGAAAAGGAAAATGGCCCATGGACGTCTTGCAAGCACCCATGAATCGGAGCAGGGTAGAAGGGAAGAGATTCGGAATTAAATGCCGTTTTAATTGTCCTACGGGCGCCGTTGCCATTCAATCTCCAGGATTCGCGACGGGCTTCGTTTGGGAAATTGACGGTTCAGGATACGGGCAGATGCTTGCCGATTTTCCAGCTTCACCGCGCCCTAATGCCGGCAAAGACGGCAATGGCGGCCACATACAGCGCTACGCTCGCCAAATAAGGGGCGCCAAGGAGGCCTGTCGCGATGCCTCGAACCCACAACATCGCCATCAGTGGCGCTCCCACTAGGGAACCCAGAGTTTTGACCATCATGACAATCGAGAAGATGTGCATTTCCGGTTCCTCGAAATTTGGCGACGGGTGGCTGCCTGTCGTTGGCGACTTCAGCAATCCCATCGTGAACACGGGAAGGGCAGACCCCAGCGCGTACATGAGAAGGGAGGGAAATAGGAGCCAAACAGTGGCTGCAAGGGCGATGGCCAGTGCGCCGAGAACTGAAATCATCAGGCAGATTCGCGCATAACGAATATTGTCCCCATCGGAGAGCGCCTGGGACGACGATTGAGGAGACGCGCTTTTCGCGCTGAGGATGCCTGGAACGATGAAAGTGAGGAGGGTGAAATTCACGACGGCTTTCGCAGAGAGAAGGTAGCCCGCCGAAGCAAATTCCCAGTGGTACCGCTTCGATATGTACTGGGCTAAGAGTTTGGAGTCGGAACTGGCGAGGGAGGTGAGAAAGAAGCTAAAGAGCAACAGGCTCAGGTTCCTAGGATGGGTCGCGATGATGGAGCGGAGGACGCGGACGCGCTCGAGGATAGGCGACAACATAGAAGTCCTCGATCGTTGCGCCTTTAGGGTAGGTGAGTTTATCAGAAGTTGCCGTTCTTCCTCCGGCGCGAACACGGTATGCGCAGGGTCCGCGATCACAGAGATGACGGGGATTGCCAACAGGAGGAGGCAGATGCCAATCCAAAACGGGAGGAATAGGTTCAAAGTCATGGTCGCACCAGCGAGACCAGGCCCGACGAAGGTCACCACGTACGACACCGCATTCATCCAGCTGAAATATGTTGCCCTGTAACGCGGGAATCAGCCGCCGGACGGCCAGATAACTGCGATACTTCCTACTCACCTAACCACGTTGTCGTCCGTCAGGCTAGCGGCCGAGGCATATAGTATGGAGTTGAAAACGCAGTCGCCGCCAAGAATGGACAGGCTCGGACCGGCGACGATGGCCGAGAGAGGTAGCGTCCTCTCAAACCAGCTTACCACGATGGCCCAGGTAATCATGAACAGTCTCGGCAGGATATTCAGCCAGAGTACTGTTCTTCTGCCGTACCTCTCTGCGACAAACCCCAACGGAATGGTCATGACAAAGTCTGGAGAAGCTGTGTCAGCCTCTGGCTCTCCCCTCGTGCTCGCGAGCGGTTTGGCAACGCATCTAGGATCTCTCGGGCTAGGCTCACCCCCGACGATCCATAGTGTCTCCATGCTCCCGGTTATCCACGCAAGTTTCTGCTGGACAGGGTCTATCTTGCAGCGCTTCTCGTCGATCCGCCCGTCGTCGCCGATGATGGACGGGTCATGGTCGTCATAGTAGTCTCGGCACAGGCGACTCTCGACAGCTCTATTGAGCGGTAGCTGGTAGATGCTCTGGGCTAGATTGACCAGGAGTAATAGGGCCAGAAGTGCCACTACCGCGGGCTTCGGACACGTCCGGCGATGTGAGCTGTGTTGAGGGGCCGCCGGATCAGTATGCGCATGGTCCATATTGAGGCAAGAATTGAATCCTCCCCGACGTGTGTATCGGGGTTGTCGACGGAGAGGAAGCCCAGGTCAGATGCCAGATACGATGATCGCCTATCAGAGCGACCAAGCATCAGAGATAAGGAGACCCCGTGTTGGCGATATTTGTGGCTAAGTAGATATCGTGCTGTTTATACAATATAATGACGTCACAGCTTTATCAATCCATCGGTTTATACACATATATGTGTATAATACGCTACTATCCAACCCCGATATTCGCATACTTGCTTCAGAACTAACCTACACCACCATATCGATGCCGCCCGCCGGCTTCTGGGGCGGCCAGTTCATGCTATTAATAGCTTCAGCCCAAGATCGGCTATGGGAATCTCGGCCAGATGCACATATCAGTTCATCAGCGAGCTAGATCAAAGTTACCTATGGGGAAGTTGGCTACAGTTCAGAAATAACTACCCCTCTTTAATCGCCTGTCGTCAGTGACAACCCGTTGGATTTTGGACCCCATGTACGTAAACTGTCTCACACGCGGGATGACTTGGGCATTATTTGCAGCGCGGATCAAATAGTTCTGCCTCTCGAATTATGCATCCCTGTGAGCAGACGCCATTATTCGCAACCCACGCTCATGCTTCGGCCCAGTCACCTCTTAGGTAATAAAGAGCTGGGCGAGGTAGACACAACGGCTCGAAATGCGGTTCGCAAAATTGATCTCCCTAGTCTTCGTATTGTGGCTCATAACACGGAATCAGGAAGAGTTTGAGAAAAAGGTCATGAAGACGCCCAAGCAGGATAGTGAAGAGGAGGAGATCGAGCCCCCCCCCGCCATATTCGCGAACCATATCTTCCCCGTACTTGATCCCCCTCGCTGGGTCCTGGCGAAGAGTTCGTTCATCAGACTGTTTCAGTGTAGTAGCGCGCTCATCCGGGGGTTTCAGGAGACACCGTGATAGGATCAACCTATTAGGCATCGTGGTTATCATGCGCGGGTGCGTGGTTGGTAATAAAACTCCTTAACATGGAAGAGGTGTTTAGATGTTTTTACATTCTATTCGGTCGCTTAGGCTTCCCGTGAAACTCAAGACATCGTTTATGACGTAGCTAAGCGCTGGTAAAGGTGACTGCCCGTAACATAGTATTACCTACATATTACATCTTCCGGTAGGATTCCGTTGTAGTTAACTATTTTTATCACAATACGGAATTGCCCATGGGAAATGGCAAGATTAGTTAGAGGATAATCTATTTAATTAATTTTTTGGGATCGTTAAGCGCCCCAACGCTCAATGCCAGTTTGTATCATACGGGCTAGCACTACCTGTGCTGATAGCCTCAACTTAATTATACCCTAGTCATCACATCCTTACTCCGCGATTATTGTATAATGCGTATCGTTACGTATCTCATAGTGTCCCTTTTCCTTCCCTGCGCCATTCGTTATTTTCCTCACGCCGAACACGAATCCCAAAGAAAGAGCAGAGGGGGAAAAGCTACTGTTGCGCCGTGTTGCGCTCCTCTGCCTCCAGCGCCGCCTTCTCGTCCGCCGTGAGCTCGGCGGACGCGTGGCCGAGCCGCGCCGTGATGACGCAGGCGGTCGTGACGCCTGCAAGCCCGACACCGGTCCAGAACCCGATGTTGTAGCGCTCGCGCAGGCTCAAGGCCTCGCCGCCGGCCTCGCGGCGGTACCGGGCCGCCGTCGAAACGGCTAGCTCGGCGACGCCGAGCCAGAACGCCATACCGAAGAATCCGAGGCTCGTGATGAGCCCCGCCGCGGTGGCCTGCAGGCGCCGCGGCATCGCCGTCGTGATGAACACGTTCGTGATGTTGTATGTGATGTCGATGCCAATGGTGCCGCACACCATCGCCGGGAAGATGTACGAGAAGTACAACCGGTTGGTCGACAGCCGCTCCGGCCCGTCCTGGGGTGGGATCATGGGAAATAGTAGCGCGCAGAGCAGGAATCCGGCCGCCGAGACCCACAGCAGGATGCGGCCCGGGAGGATGTGCATCACGAAGCCCCCGGTGATGGCGAGGATGAAACCGCCGATGGCGAGCGGGGTGAACCACGCGGCACTCTGGATGGGCGAAGCTTTCAAGACATTTTCGATGCTGAAGGCCGTTTGTTAGTACGAACCATGCCTACAACCTCCCGCTAGGACAACAGCAAAGTAAGATGGGGGGGGGGGGGGTACAGAGGTCAACTTACTAGAAGCTAGAGTAGAATAGGAAGATGGCGAACACGCCGAATCCGCAGAACAGGAAGGCAGAGATACGCTTCATGTATTTCGGGCGGAAGAGATCCGACGGCAGCAGCGGCTGGGCCGAGACCCACCCTTGCGTATATACGGCGGCGCAGAGGAAGAGGCCACCAATCACAAAGGTTACGTAGATATACGGCGTCCGCCAGCCGTCGGGGGCATTCCCGCCGTCGGTGAGCGCGTACACGACGAGCAGCAGGCCGGGCACGATGGTGCCGCAGCCCCACCAGTCCATGCGTACATCGGGGCCGTCGTGGTGGAGGTGGCGGGGGATGGCGAAGAAGCCGGTGAGAACGACGGCGGCGATGCAGATGGTGCCGACGAAGAAGTACCAGCTCCAGTCGGCTAGCTGGCTGGTGAGCGCGCTGATGATGATGCCTAGGTAGAAGCCGATGCAGGCCGACGCGCCGTACAGGCTGAACACGAAGTTCTTGCGCGGTCCGGGCCGGTAGATCTGGCCGAGCAGCGCGAGCCCCGCGGGCATGAAGGCGGCCGCGCCGACCCCCTGCATCGCGCGGCTCACGATCAGCATGGTCGGGTTCTGGCTGAAACCGCAGACGAGCGACCAGACGAGGAACCAGAGGTGCCCACACAGAAACACGATCCGGCCACCGTGGATCGAGCACAGGCGGGCGCACGGGAGGAGCAGAGCGGCGGTGGTCAGGTTGATGACGCCGGCGGGCCAGGTCCGCTCCTCCTCGCGGATGTGCAGCGACTCGGCGAGCGCGGGCAGGATGATGTTGAAACCGCTGATGAAGTATTCGCTCATGAGCAGCGAGGCGATGATGGCGAAGACGAACCCAGCCTCGGCGGCCCAGTTCGGGAGCGAGTCGGGGCGCTGGCGGCCGAGGCGCTCGACATCGATCTTGGGGAGCGGGAGCACCGCGCCGTCACCCCTGTCGGGGGTCTCGATGTCCTCGAAGATGCCACCCTTGCTGCCGTCCGAGTCGGATGGGCTGGCCATACTTAGTGGGATACGGGCCCTGGCGTGGACGAAAAAGCCTAAACTATGCTCGGCTAGGCATAGAGTGCGGAGCGACGAGAAGAAAGCTAAGCTGGTAAAGCGTGACCTGTCTAAGCTTCCGCTCTAATAGCTGGTTCGTCGCTGGGATGAAGCCTCGTTTCGTACAAATGGGAGGGAAGAGAGGGCCTAAGAGTTTATGTTTATATAGCTATGCGTAGTCTGGTCGGCTTTTGGTTACCGCCACAATGGAGAGTTCATTTCTGTTCTGGTGTCAAACCAAAAATTACGTCTTCTAGGTCTTTGCTGGAGCCCCGTTCTCCGGACCGGCCCCTGTATGCGAGAGATGAGCCTTGGCTACCGCATCGGGAACCCAAAGTCCCGCCAGCAACCCACAATATCCCCTCGGGTACGCGCCTCACATATAATAGTACCGGCGATGACTTGCGGTCACGCCCCAGAGATGCGTTCAAATGTATATGAAGCATGCCTGGACAACCCACGACATCTCGGGGAGTGGATAGGTGTGGGATGTACGCCCAACCATCACAGTCGTATTTGCTAGGTATGTTTACTTCTGTGCTGGTCGTCCAGAGTGCAAAACGCCTCTTCTCTACTGCTTAATTGGTTGGAAGTTCCTAGCGAAGCCTCTGTGTAATATGTGTGTGACGAGGGTTGTGGGTGGAATCTGGTGGGTGGATGGGTGGATGGGTGAATGTGTGGGTATGTAGTAAGCGGGGTTGCTTTCTTGGATGTTGGGCTCGGTTGACATGCACAGTTTGACTCTGGGCTACCCTTTTCGGCGTAGGCGGTGATGACGGTATGTCTTTAACAGGGATAACACCTAAGCCGATACCTCTCGACCTTTCGGCTGTACCGGTAGCACGTGGTGCTAATTCAATCTAGACTTGACCCTTACAAATGCGCTACGTATGCGATCGAGATTCTTCTCTCGTAACTATTCACGATCGGGGCTTGCGGTTGGGAGCTGCTGGGATGTGCAAGAATCCCAACGTCTACTCATAGGTTAGGTAGGTTAGGTAGTTAGTTAACCATGGAATATGTATGTTGACGAACCGAGCATCGTGGTGGGCGTAGGCTGGCGTAGCACGTATGAGGAGGTAACGCACATGGGAAAGTGGCCGCCCCGTATTCTCACCCCTGATATGTGCGTCGATGGGTAGGGTTGTGATCCCGACGGGTGCCAAGCATGTCTGTAGCACGTGCATGCGGCGCCGACGACACAGGCCAACGGGAGACGTTGCGGGATGGTGTTGCCGGATGCATTCTTCACTGTTTCCCATTTCCTCACGTTGCACGTCGAGCTCGACAGCCGACAGGGATGTATCAGCATCGAGTCCACACTACCCATCTATTAAATCGCTGTACGCCGGTCAACTGTGCGCAGACCTGTCTGTCGTAACCTTGAGTGGTGAGGAAACCAGGTGGGCTACCGGCGCAGACTCGCCGTGGTGGGCTGCACCCATGACCGTAATGCGTAGATATACCTACGCCCAGCAGGGTTTGGATCTTGCCCACCTCATCTCACCCTCCCATCCTTGTCGTACTTTGCTGAGCAGCGACTTTTGGTCGAATTGTATGTCATGTCAAAATCCGACACGAGCCAGACTGGCTTGCCTCGGAAGCTTATGCGTAGCAGGAGGATAGGTCCCATACCTAACCTGTAGGTAGGTATGCCTCAGCTGCCCCGATTAGGTGTCAGACAGAGCGTGGATGTGCAGCAGATATGCTCACGCTGATCGGCAGATGAAGACGCGATAGCACCCGCGCGTCCCAACCTGTGAGATGCATCACAGTTGAGGCGTCAACGTTGCCGAGTCTCTCTCTCTCTCTCGCTCTCGCTCTCTCGCACGCCACCGTCATCGGAGGCAACGTGCTTGGTACGTAGATACTTCTTACCTACGTGAAATCCAGCTGCGGGTCCCGCCGCCACCCATCGGAGAAGTCGGTCTTTATTACCATACCCATGATTACTCACCCCGCCCTCTCGCATCAGAAGACGCCATCGCGCATAGTCTGCTGAAGCCTCGTCGATCTGCATTCATCCTCAACTACACCACGCAACCCCCTAAATACTCGTCTGTCTCCGATCGTGTATCTACCCATGTACCATCCGCATCTACGGGTCGACGCGGCAGCTACTAAGTCAAGCTTTTTCTAACCTCGGTGTCTCCCATTCCTGGCCCTACCCCTTTCTTGGGTGTCAGCCATTGGCCCAATCTTGGGAGTCGGGTGGCGTCCTGACTGCTCTGCGAATGCGACAGCACATTCTCGTTCTTCCAGCTTCCCGCCATACTCCGTTAGACCTCGCCATACTGGCTGGTCTGGTGGCCGTCGGAGCGTAGTGAACTGCTCACTCCATGGTTCTGCCCAAGTCCTGCCACAACTGCCGTGCCCGTCGCCTGCGTTGTGATCGTTCCGTCCCAGCGTGCCACAAGTGCACCAGCGCCGGGCAGGAGTGTCTTGGCTATGGCAGACTCTTCAAGTGGGTCAGAAGCGAGCCATCGAGAGCCCGGGTAACGACCGCCATCGCGAGGACGTCCGTCTACGGCGCCTCGAAATCAGACCATGACGGATCTCAGCCGGATACCGCGGCGTATTCTGGGACTGGGTCACGGGGTCAATCTGGGCATGGCCATCTGGAATTCCCTCCGCTCGGCCTGCTGCTCACGGACCTAGACTGGTCCTCGCGGCGTTACCTCGATTACTGTTAGTCCAATCTCAGTTTCCCGTCGTGTTCTCCGTCCGCTGTCCTCCTAACCGCCCCAGTCCTCGCTCGTTTTTGTCAAGACCTAGTCATATACGATTCCCCTCGCCCTGGCGCCAATCCGTTTAGAGATCTGGCCCACGTGTCCCAGACGTATCCATATCTCAGGGAAATTATCATCGCCGCTTCTGCGCTGCATTTCTCCAACGCTATGCGCCCTAGTCCCTCTCGCCCGAATGCAGATCCGCGTGTGGGGGCAGACGCTTTTGTCGATGCGTTGCGTGCACGGGGTAGAGCCATTAAGGCGCTGCAGGCAGTCGTGCAACACCAAGAGCTGGTAGGCGGTGCCGCGGTCGACGAAACCGAGAAGGACGCAGTACTCGCTGCCGTCCTCTTCTTTGTCAACTTCACGCTCCTCGATTCGGGGAAGGTCGGTTGGAGAGCTCACATGAAGTTTGTCGGCAGGCTCCTTAGTATGCGGGTGCCTGGCTCCCAATTACCGCAGCATGATTTTTCGGCATCGACGCAGGAGTCGGAACGTGATGCTGCCCCTTCGCCGGACCCCAAGATGTCCCACTCTCTCGCTTTCCCGGACTCGCACTCTCCAGCTTCATCTTTACAAACGCCGAGTGTTTACGACTACATCGCCTCGGACTCTATGGCATACTATATTTGGAGTCTAGCACTTGACTCGCTGGTATCATCGAGGAACAGGCCTGCCTTAGACATCCTGACACCCGATGGCGACGACACCAAAATCCTGCTCACTCTCCTTCGCACAGAGGCGAATAGTTACCACAGCTGCCCCGCACGCTTGCTGTACATCATATACCGTACTTCTAAACTGGCAATGGCTATTAAGTCGAGTGGTACCAGCGCGCTAAGTGACGAGCAGGTGCAGTCGTGCCTTGAACTCCTCGAGGAGGCCCGAGCATTTGACGCCGACGCATGGGCGACCGATGTCAACGCCAAGATCGAGGCCTCTATGGGTTATGCCGATGAGATTCATATACGACACAGGAAACACATAGCCGTGACTTACCGCGCAGCGGTTTGCCTCTACATACTTCTGGTAGCTCCCGGACTATCCCTCGACGTGTACCGCCGCTGGGCATCTAGTGAAGCCACCGAAAGCAGTCTATTAACATTTCCCAATATCGCGGACCTCACGACGACAATCCTGCGTCACATCTCCTTAATTCCTACCGATAGCCCTCCGTTCAAATTCGCTACGTGGCCGGTGTTCCTCACCGGCGTCGAGGCCACGTCCCCATCTCGACGGATGCTGGTGCTCGATCGGCTCAGTGATATGAGAAGCCTTCACCACTGGGGCATGCTGACGTCGACGATGGAGACGTTGATAGAGATCTGGCAGATCAGGGACAGCTCATCCGCCACGTACAAACCCGAGGCCGGCGGAGACATCCACGTCAAAGAACCAACTACGCCTGACATAGAAGGGAACGGCAACAATATGTGGCTGGAACAGCTCAAGAACCTCAAAATCGACAGCTTGATCGTGTGACGAGCATCAATTCAGATCAAATCCAGCGGTCTCAACAGGTTAATACATGGGAATATACTGACTTAGAAGCATGCTATATTCAAATGGCCCGTCACGGTAGGAGCTGCTATACCTTACCTCCTGGGTAGCACGAGGTGAGGTCATAAAGTCCTGTGGCGCAATACTTAGCCTACGCATTCTGACCGTAAGCTTAGCCCTACTGGTGTCACTTTGTGGCTTGGGACTTCAAGACTGGATATCCTGGGTACTCGATATTTAACGCCTTTAATTCTACAGTATGCTTCGAACGGGCCACGTAGCCGCTGCATAAAGGAACCGACAAACCTTCTAATACCCTTTCTGAGGGTGTTCTCCTTGAGAGAGGTGATGACGCGGGGTCGCCCCGGACTATGGCCGTGGTACTCCGCCGTCGCCATAAGAACACCGCTCTCGGCAAAGCGTCGGAGGAGTAGCCGCTCCGCTGCCCGACCGTCTGCGCCTGTCTCGGATAGAGGGAGGGATCCTTTCAAGTCGATCCATATAAAAAGCCCCGCGTTCCCGAAGCAGAGGGGTGGCCGGTTAGCCCACACGCATGCTACATATACACATATAATCATATAAGATGAGCTAGGACCTGATCATTTTACGCTACCCAGAAAGCGCGAGAGGGGAGAAGCAGGAGAGAGCATACCCTAGTCTATGGAAATCGATGCCGGCTCTGTAAGAAGTTTCTTAGCAAGGAGCCGGCCTTGGGGCAATAGGCGATGCGACTCGGCGAGGAATTGAGCGACTAACGCTTGACCCTCAAGGATTCAGGTGGCTAGATCCATGGAGAATTGCGAGGCGAGCAGAAGCGGCTGTATACGTGGGCCATGGTTGCGTCGACGCCGCCAATAACCCATCGTCTGTGATAGGGGGTGAGCAATGCTCACCACATAGCGCGCGTGGCCTTCGTGAACACCTCGTTTTCTGAGACCAGGCAGCCGAACCGCATACCGCCGGCGCCGAAGTCCTAACGCAAGAATCGGCTAACTGGGAACCCGAAGTAGCGGAATAGGGGCGGCCGAGATGCCTACCTTGGACGAGCCATACAGCACGTGGACGCGCGCGGGGTCAATGAAGCCTATGGGATTTATGGCGCGCACAGAGACAAACGCCTCACTCTCGCCGGCCGCGCGGTCGTCCCGGGCGTATGCTGACGGTGCGTAGATCTCGTCGTTGACAAGGTGCATGCCCTTCGCGGCGCACAAGCGCATCAGCGCTTCAAGCATCTCCCGCGGGTAGCATTGCCCTGGGGGGGGGTTTATACTGAGTATTACTTGTCTATCAGATGATAGAAAGGTGTACGGTAGCGAGAGGCAAAAGAATACGCGCGTGCGCGTCTGCCTCTCCCGGTGTGTGCAGGTGCTCTCACTCACTCAGCGGGTTTTGCGGGTCACGTATGAGGAGCGCCTTAATCGTGAAGCCACGGCCTTGGGGGCCTCGAACCCGGCCTCGTATGCGGCTGCGAAGGCGGGAGAGAATTAGTCTGTGTCGCCGATAGGGACGTACTCGAGAGCGACGCTGCGGTTGTCCCCGGCACGCTGGCCGCCTATTAGCTCCACATGCTCCGGGCACTCGGGTCCTCAGCCCCTCTCTCCTCCCCGTACGCGAGACACGCCGGGCCGAACCCGCTCTGCACACGGGATCGCAGTAGGAGCAGTGGGGTTAGATTGAGAAAAGTGTTGCCAGGGAGTATCTACAGGCGCGGGGGGTCTACTTCGACGGGGTGGCCTTGATTTCGCGTAACCATAGATAGGGCATTGCGCGGATGCGTCGAGTTTTATAATAACGCCGCGGTATTCGTCGCGGAGCCCAGACTGCTAAGGGGGGGGGCGCGAATAAAAGGAGCCTTCTGTTGCCTACCCTTCCGGCCATTAGTATCCCGAACGGGGATTGGCAATGCTAATGATCTATCACCCTCGCGGCTGAGCTCTCTTCCGAGCTCATTACTATTTGTAACACGCGAATTTGAATTGATTCTCCATCCTCTCTCGTCGGACAGAACTGCTCCTCAGCGGAGAGGGTCTGTACCTATTCCAGTCTCGTATGCTACGCACCACACCTTGACTTTCCCACGGCCGGTGTTGGTAGAATAAGATTGTCTGCGATTGGTATGTGCTAAATATCAATCGAAAAAACACGCCACGGACGAGCGAGTAGGAGACTTTTGAGCAACGAGTGGGATATTCTTGTGTCTGGGGTGGGATATATCCCCATCCAAATGAGGAAACCATTGCTCACGATGGAGTGAGGACCGTCGGCTACCCAGTCGAGCGCTGGCACTGCCACCCCCCCGCCTGTCCAATATGTCGTTCGGAAGCTGATGGATAATAAATATATTATAACTCGTTATTGTGCGCAAGCCTTGGCTCCGGGGATGTATGACGTGGGAAGTTCAGAAAGCCGCGCGATGCCGCCTCCGCCGCCTCGGAGCCTGTCATGTTGTCTGAGCCAGTATGTAGTGTAGTCAATTACGCAGAGGCTCGTTATCGTAGAAGACGCCCCGGTAGCTATTGCTCTTCGTCTTCTTCTTCCTCATCTCCGCCTTCCTCCTCAGCTTCCTTGCCCCCATCGCCGTCTTGCTGGTCGTTCAGCTTACGAACCTCGTCTATCAAGACGTCGCTCCAGTAGGCGTATTGAATGCTGTCCTCGAGGTCCTCCTCCAAGCTCATGTTCGCGACGCTGTAGTTCACCCACATGCTTACGGCGTCCTCGTAACACGCTCTGCCCCAGCCGTAGCCCAGATGGTCGTGCCCTATAGAGCGCCCCCCGTTTCCCTCGTAAAACCTCAAGTCGACTTCGGCGATGATGCACAAGCCGTCGCTATGATCTAGAGTCTCCTTGTCGACGGCGATGAACTGCCCCGGGGGGTCGGAGTACTTCCGGAACTCGGCCGATTCCAGGAGGCCCACGAGGCCCGCGATGTCCGGCGTGGCAACGTGGCGCGAGACGTCCATCAGCTGCATCCCCCACTCCCTGCCCAGCTCCTCTCTGACGCGCTGGACCTGCGCCTTGGACATCGGGCACAGCAGGAACACGTAGCAGCCGTCGTAGTCGTCCGAGACCGTGATGCGGTCCGGGTCCGGTAGATTTCGCAACCACGATACGTCGTCCCTGCCGAATCTCTGGCTCTGCCCCTCTCCCCCACGCTCGCCCGATCTAGACCGGTCGAACATGGCCCGCCAGACGTCGAGCGTCGACTCAGCCTTGTTTAGTTTGGCCACCTCCAGGTTGGTGTCTGGCCGATTGGTGTGGCGGTCCCGCATCTGCTGCACCAGGAGGATCTCGACGTCTCCGCGGCCGGAGCCCTCGGGCTCGCTCCTGTCTACGAACAGGGCGTATCTCTCGTAGACCCCGTCGGGAAACGGCGGTCGTATGGCGCCGAAGATGCGGTGCATCTCGTCCCAGGTCCCTGGCTCTTTGGCGGCCGGCCAGTTGAGAATGCGAACGTCCTTCGGCTGGGGTGCGGTCCCGCCCGAGATGGTCTTCTTGAGCTGGGCGATCTCGGCGTCTTCCAGGTGCACCAGCGACACCAGCGTCGGCTCCTCGGCGCTCAGCTCCAAGTCTACCGGCAGGTGGGCCGGGCAGACGTGGAGAAACTCCTGGTCGCCGTCCCCAAGAGATTCGGGATTCGTCTTGAATTGGAATCTCCTCACCCTCTCGAGCGCCCACTCGGCGGGGAAGTCAATCTTGCGCGCCGCGTAGTCCGGCATGACGTCGGCCAGGGTCTCCGCCATGGCCGCGTCCAGCACGCGGGAGAGAAGCGGCTTGGCGCGGCGGACGTCGACCCGCGCGGCCTGCAGCAGCTCGCGGATCGGCTCGTCGGGCGCCGCGCCGCGCCCCGACGCCGCCACGACGACGGTCCCGGGGCCGCCGCCGGCGCGCTCGCGCATCGTCTCCGCGTCGGCGAATACGGCGGCGCCTCGGAACTGGCCGCTCATCACCTCGTAGACGGCCCGGCCCGTGTCCGGCACGGACCTACGGACCCAGGGGACGCCGGCGAGGACCCTCGGCGGCGGCGCGGCGGCCGGGCGGCCGGGCAGCGCCGCCTCCCCGCCCGGGCCGTCCAGGTCCGACAGGAGGGCGGCGCGCTCGGCGGCGCTGGCGCGGGTCAGGAAGACCACCGCGATGGGCGCCGACGCTGAGGCGCCGGGGTTGAGGTTGGGGAGGTGCCACAGCTCCTGCATCGTTCCGAAGGGGAACAGCATCGCAGGGGACCAAGGAGAGGAGGTGCTAGAGTCGGGGACAGGCCGGGGAATCAGACAGAGGTGGATGAGGAGGTCCTCGAGGAGAGTCGAGTATAAATACACAGAGGTAATAGGTCCCTGTACGGGCTTGGACGACTACCTCGCGCTGTTGCCTTGGAAAAGGCGCCGTTTAGGCAGCACCGGCTCTCGGTGCGGCATAGCAGTAGGTATACTATCTGGCCTGACGCTATACGCGGGGGATGTCACGGCATCCACGGCATCCTCCGATGCCGATCACGGAAGCTTATATAAGCCTTAGGAGATTAGCTTAAGCTTTAGCTTTAGGTAGAGAAATAGCTTTATTATCAAGCCTTTTTCCATAAGATTTATCTATCCTTGAGATATAATATAGTAGTACCTCTCCTTATAACGGATAAGCCTCTCGGAAAAGAGCTTTAAAGATAACCTAATTCGATTACCTACTCCCGCCCTCCCGAGTAATATTATTACGATACCCTTCCACTACTCTACCCTAAACCGATACCTACGAAACGAGCCCGAGATTCGAAAGGCCGCTTCATTAAGGCCACGGCACCTAAAACCCTACTACTTAAAGGCCTTAAGGACCTTATAATTCTTTTATAAAGCTAGAGACGTCCCTTATTAATAACGGCCGAACCCTTATAAGCCGTTCTACCTATAGAAGGCATAGTAGTTATAACGACGCATCTAGAAGAGGAATTACTCGAGGAATCGCTCTAAAAGAAAAACGACTATAAAGAAACGCCTTAAATTCTACCGAATCCCCTACTAATCTTTTTTCTAACATATAAATAAAGAGGAATAATTTCCTTATCCTCTTTATTAAGCATAGACCCTATCGGATTATATAACTAAAAAGTAAAACCATTAATACCATTTACTAAATCCCTAGAAAAGTAACTAAAACGCCTACCTTTAGCTTCTAAACTATCTCTATTACCTAAGCCTACCGATCTACGATTACCTAACGGCAAAATAAAAGCGCTACCTACCATAAAGGACCTCTACTATTTTTACCTAATGGCAGCCATAATTAACGAAATACCGCGATATTAATTACAGGATAAACTATCCTACCTCTAAAACTACTCCCCGGAACTACTCGCTTCCCGAGATAACGCCAGAGCCATCCTAAGAAAGATAAGCCCCCGCTAACGCCTAAATATTACCATAAAAGCAACGGATAATTTTAATAACCAAACGTAAACCATTAATACCTAGGAATTCGAGAAATTCATAACCATCTAGCGATAAAGACCGCCGATTACGGAATTCCCGTATACTCCGACTATATTACTACGATACGAAACCCCTAGAGCCTTAAAATAACCGCCGCTACTATCCCTATAGCTACCTCCTTAACTAATAGGTTTCCCTCCCCGTATAACTCGATCCTAAAGTAAATATTAGCCTTACGACGCTTATAACTAAAACCGGTCCGGGCTTAATTATCCGGCGCCTCCTAATAACCCGGTACCTTATTAACTAATATACCCTACTAAGCGACCCTATAATAAACTTAAGCTAGAGATCTTTATATACGATAATAAAAAGACTCCTATTATAGAATACCTAAATAAGATTAACTTCCTTACATACCGAAAGGGTACTAAGGCAGTACTAGATACCTTCAGGTAAGGAATCCTAATAAAAGATACCGACGGAATAGCGTTTTTTAATTCCCTTCCTATAACCCTAAAAGATACCATAACCTTCGACCTTAACCTACTTAAGGCTACCTTCTTCGAGCGATTTCAAAAAAATAAGAGCGAGACGTTATTCTAAACTAATAACTTAAAATACTCCTTCGATATAAAAGATATATTACTACTTTACGATTACGTCGATAGGAAGATACGGCTCTATAATAAAGCTAGCGAGTTCGACGAGGATTTATAGGTTAGAAGAATCAAAATAGGATTAAACCTACGTTTAATATAAGTCGTTATCCTTAAATAATCCTATAATACCATTAAAGACCTAAAATCGTAACTAGCGTCCGTAAAATACTCTACACGAGCCGAATATAAACGTACTAAAGCATAATACGAAATAAATACCTCTCGTTTCATTTAGCTTAAAAAGGAGATCTAATAATTAAAGTCTTAAGGACCTCCTAAAGGCAATAGACCGCCATTCCCGAAACAATAGCCATCTTAATAATAGATCTAATACCAATAGATATACCAACAGCCGACCTAATCACTATCTTATCTACCTTAATAACCATAACTAACCTTATCCTAACTTTAACTACCTACCGGTAATAACGGAGGATTCAAACCCCGACGACGTTAGATTTATTTTAAATGCGGTAACCCAGACTACCGAGGAAACTATATTAAACCAAGATAATAGGTTAACGCCTATCTTACCGACGAGGCTATCGTTATTATAAACCTAAATATAAAAGAGGAATCCCTACTACTAAAAGAAAACTTCGATCGTATCGTTTAAGATATCTCTAACATTAAAGGAAAGGACGAAATAAATCCGGAAAACGGCTCGCCGGCGACCTAATAAATACCCTAAAGCCGTACGGTATTACTACTAATAATAGGGTATTATTATCGACGTTACTACTAAACGATACGGAAAATAATAAAACATAAAGCAAAATCGAAAAACCTATAAAAACAATAACATAAACTATTACTACTTCAGACTTAAATCTCGTACCTAATAACGCTTATATATTCTTCCTTAACGACGATAGATACTTATTTCGATCCTTTTAGCAACTATAAACCATAATCCATTTAAAAACGGCGAAACTAACGGCATATATTAACACTTGCTCCCCTATTACCCTAATAAATCGAACAGTCCTGGCTTTATACTATCCCTCCGCAGTAATATCTCGTCTTCCTAAACCAATCTCACTAAACGGCATAAGCGAAGGTCCAACGGTTACTAAATTAACGTATCTAACGCTTACTTTTTAAATTACGAATGGTAATAAATAATTAGCAGACTATACCGTATTCATCGTCGACTCTTTATCGTATTCTCTCCTTCTAAGAACTTCATTTCTTTAACCTAATAAGCTATATATAAAATAAGGAAATAAATAGGATTTATTAATCGTTACTAACTCTAACTATAAGATACTAGCTACGAGTAAAAACCCCGGTAGTAAATTACGTCGTTACGAGTTATAACGTCGTCCATTAGAACGAGTCGCCATTAAGACGGCTAAAACGATAATAATTAAACTAAGCCATGGATATAACATCCCCGTAAAGTATCCTAAGCTTCCTATTACTACCTCCGGATACGTAATCGAACCGAAAGTCTTCTCTTTAGCGAGAACTAACATACTTAGAAGTCTTATACAAGGAATTACTACAGGACAATAATACGTATTACCCTTCGCTAATTTCGGCAAGACCCGTATCCATATTCCGGCTAATAGATATATCGGTTTACTCGTACGACTTAATATCTATAAAACTATAGATTTATATATTATAGAAATATAAGAGGGGACCCTAGATAAAGATAAACCTAATAAACCTAAAACTATTTTATTATTAGATCTTCTCGGAACCACGGACCTACCCGACGATCCCGAATATTATAAATACCCCGATGGATACCTATACTATCTCCTAAATCCTAACGATATATAGGATAGATTATCTTTAAAACTAAAAGATTTATATATAGATATCTCTAAATACTAAGGGCCGGAAATCGCCTAACGTATACGCGAAGTTATTAAATCATACTCTTATCTCTTCCGCTAAACTCTAGGTAAGTTTAACGACGGTATTAAAATACCTATTAAATTTAAAGAAGGTATTAATCTTACCAATCTTCGTTAAAAACCCTATTATATGTCTCGAAAAGATAAAAACGTAATAAACGCTATCCTAAACCCATTAAAATAAATAAGCGTCGTCGAAGACGTACCCCTTAGAGAGGAATTACTATACTTTAGTCTAGCATTTATAATCTAAAGAAACGGCAAGCCTCGTATAGTCGTCGATTTACGACGTATTAATACTAAAATACTATTAAACGGATACCCCCTCCTACGCTAGGAAGACATTTTAACTAATATATATAGCTATACCGTCTTTACGTCCATAAACGTCGTTAAAGGATTCTTCTAATAAGACATTATCGAAGACGATAGATAGAAAACGGCGTTTATAACGTAATATCGAGGCTATAAACGACTTATAGTTAATACTATAGGATTAACTACATTACCTAACTTCTTCTAATATCGTATGGAAAAACTCCTTATACCATACCTATAATAATTCGTATTAATTTACGTTAACGATATTATTATTTATAGTCGTACCATAAATAACCATATACGATACCTAGACCTTATACTAATAATCCTTAAGAAATCCGGAATCTCGATAGCATTATCTAAATATTACTTCGCCTAACCCGGATTACGAGCCCTAGGTCGATGGGTTTCTCGCGTAGGTATTAATACCATAAATAATAAAATAAAAGCGATACAATAGCTAGAGCTTCATACCCTCGACGACTTAAAACATAGCTTAGGTCTTATGGGATATTATAGGAATTATATACCAAGATATTCTATAATAACATAACCCCTATTCGAAATTAAGGCACTCGGTTTTAAGGCGGTACCTAAGAAGAACCCCCTAAGAAAGACGTACGCCAAGAATACGACTCTTCTACCATTACCGCCGAAACCGAAATACGAGGATACGTAAGAATATTAAATAGAGATTAAACGGCGTCAGGACTTATAGGCTAAAGTAAAGGAAGCATAGGAAATACTTAAACTAAAACTAAAGGATACGGTTAATCTTACGTTCCCTAATTACGATAAACCGTTTATCCTATTCGTTAATGGTAGCATTAAGGGTTACGGCGTAGCATTATACTAGATCTAAGACGGTAAATACGTCCCCTTAATATTCCTCTCTAAAAGGCTAAATAAATACCAAAATTACTACTAGCTAACGGAATTAGAAACAAAAGCTTTCGTCTAGGTACTCTAGCAATTAGAATACATTTTAAACCATAGCTTTATTAACGTTATAACGGATTATACGGCGATTAGAGATACCTTCGATAAAGGAGGCGTTCCCCGTAAATAACGACGACTAATAGCCTAGCGCTTATATCTAAGCCAGTATAAGAACCGAATCCGAATTATTTATTAACTAAAACGATAGCATACCAACGTCGACGCCTTCTTATAAAT